CATAGTTTATTGCTTCCTGACAGCATTGCTTATTTTTTTATAATACATGAACACCTATTACTAATTTAAACAACAACAAAAATCATTAAACGAAGGGTCACACTTAGTTTTCGAGTCAACATATCATGCTTTTATATATATAGTTTAATCAAGTTTGTGTTACACAGAATCTTTGTTTCGCGATGTTTACAAGTAATTTATACACACGTCTATAGAAAATAATCACAAAGAATGAGAAACCCGTTGTTATATTTCATTTATACATGTTTAAAGACCAAACTCCGAATTTCGTCAAGGTACCGTTCATTGCAAATTTTTGTACTGTTCGTTATGCATTTTGACAACTCAAAGATGAATATGGTAAAAATATGTACATAACATAATAAAACTGCTTGACAACTTTTCAAAGCTTATCTAATCAAGTACTACAAATCTTTAAAGAAATAATACGTTGCACTTATGGATTTTCTACTCTAATGCCACCAATAGCTAACTCAGGACGATGTGTCGCATATCATGATCATCATGACCTTCGTGTGACCTTTACCTCAAGATCAAAATACTAGATTTTTAGAGTTAATTTTGCAAAATTTCTCAGAAACTGGATTGCAATCAAATGATCTCGATGAGTGGGCTCCACTTGGTCCTACATTAAACATACACAAAATTCAGGTGCTTTAATTTTCAATACGAAATGCTAGAAATGTCAAATATATAAATAATTAAGTCGTTACAAAAATTAAAAGATCGGTATTTCAAAGGAGACAGCATATGTTCTTTTAAATTTTTTTAGCAACGAAGTGTACAGTACTGTTACGAAAACGCCCTACGAACGGTACAGTAAAAACAAATTCATAAACTGATGACTATTACAAATAGAAAAATCAAAATAATTACAATGAACTATGTATGTGGGATATCTTCTGGAGGAAGATACTCTCACTAACCTGCACCTAATCAGTTATTTTTTAAAGTTATGCAATGTTTGCATTTTTTGAAGCATTTTAAACGAGTTTTTGTGACCAAGGTTTGTAAACATACGTGCGCTTATCATTCAGTAAGTACAGTTCGAGTTAAAATTGGAATTATTTAATTAATATTGATCACTAAACATGCATACAACGTGTAAAATATATTTTTGCATACAAACTGTACATAACTCAGAATATTTTTGATATCATATATTGGCTTCTCTCAGCTTGTTCTGTATCGCTAAAAACGCACTAAGTCCGCAATCAACTGTACGGTGGTTAGGCATGCACGATAAGTTTGGATGATTAAATTGTAAATATCATTAATATTCAATTCATCAAATGAATATTGTCAGTTTCTGCATGTCCAATTATCACATAAAACCACAATGAAAATCCATCGCACCTAACAAGATCCCACATAAGAAATGATCGCACTTACAGTGATAATGCATTGCACCAAATGTCAAAATGAATCGCTTTCAAAAAAATTATTCTAGATTCTGTTGCTTTAATAATATATTTTTGGACTTTAATCATGTTATTGTACATTGTGAAGTCATGTTCTAATGAAATTGTGTTAAAAAATACATTCAAGTCAATTATATTGTATATTTAAAACGTAAAACACAGTTTTTCCCCATCGTCCTTTATTCTACAAAAGTAATACTCGCAAATGACAGTGAAAATGAACTATCTGGATTCGCACTTTATATACACTGAGACGGCTTATGTGTATTGTCTTTCAAATACAAATTATTTCATTTTGAATAACAATGTTCTTCGATGCAAAAGAAGGAGGTATAATAAGTGCCATTATTTTGTACTTAAAATTGCAAAAATAGTAAATTATCTAAGATTTTTCAAAATTTTGTTAAAATTGATTAATGAAAAGATTTATATAATCTGACTGTCAAAATATAAATGAGCAACAGCTTTACCCAAAAAGATATTTAAACGCACGTCTTAGTAAAATCAGAGACATATAATACAATATTTTGTAAATATCTTTGTGGGTAAAGCTGTTGCTCATTGCTAGATATTAATGGCAAGATTTCAAAATGGGGAATGGGGCTATTTTGACAGTTTTTGCTATTTGCTCTAAATGCAAGAAGTTTGAAGCCCTAATACCAATATGTTAGACAAAATTAAAAAATATAAATACTGATGTCCGACAGACTAATGGTCTTATAAACATTTGAAGGATGTTATTTGATAGATTATTATGGAAAATGTGAAATCGTTGAAAAATCTTTTTTAAGTAAATATTTAGTCCCTTTAATGTTCAAATTCCAGTGCGAGCGAAACAAATTTTGAGAATCTTGCCCCTATCTTTTCGTAATTGAAAAAATGGAGTTATTGTTGAAAGTTAAAATCATGTGAAAATTACCGAAATTAGACAATAAAGCTATACCTTGGGTCTTAAAGTTAAAACATTAGGACATTTCGATAAATCATAGAACAATAGGTTCATGTCTGTCATGTTTGTTTTTAGTTAATTGTTTTGTTATAAATTAGGCCGTTAGTTTTCTCAATTAAATTGTTTTATATTTTCATATCGTGGCCTTTTATAGCCGACTATACGGTAGGAGTTTTTCTCATTATTGAAGGTCGTACGATTGCCTATAATTGTTACATCCACTTCATTTGAACTTAGATGGTTAGTTGTCTCATTGGCAATCATACCACATCTCCTTATCTTTATATATATAATTAAAGTAATTGCATAAATCAATGTTATTAATTTGTTTAATTATTCAAGTTCCTGGAATTAATGGTCAACGATGGTATAACTTTGTAATGATTTGGTTTTTTTAATCAATTTCAGAAATTTTTTGTAAAGATAATTATGTCCTGAAACTCCCCTCATTAAAGACGTTTAAAACTCTTTTTTTTTAATTTTATACAAAAAAGGAAATCACAGATAAAATTAATTGTTCTAGGTCATGGCAAATATTTCTGCATGTTGACACAATAAGGACTTCATTAGCAGGGTTTTGTTATTTACATCTGAGACTACTATAACACATGTGTTATAGTAGTCTCAGTTTACATAAAAACAGCTTCAATCAGAGTTTTTTTAAGAACGACTGAAATCTATACTTCATACGTTTTATGGTCACAATCATGATTTGGTTGACCGATACAATATGTTTGTGTCTCCAACTTACTAGTGACAGATTTGTGCAGTCTTAGATACCAGGATAATAAACAGGTGATTTGAAAGTGAAACATTATTTCTATATGTAAACTCTGCCACCGTGACAGTGTGTAAGAGTTTTAAGATGTATATCAGTGCTTTGCTTTTGCACCAATTGGCATTTCATTTGCGCCTCAAACCATATTTCATTTCCACCAATAATACAGGTAAATAGCATAAATAATAGATCTTTATTGAAAAGAGACTTTTAATTATTGTGTAACAACCTATTTTTTATAGCATAATATAAAATATTAATCATAAATCATATTCATCAATAAACCAAAATGAAAACATTAAACACTGATTAGTTTGGTTTTTTTTTAAATATTGAGACTGTACTTTTTCTAGTATAAACTGTGGTTGACTGTATAATTCAATGATTTTATAATGGTTTTGTTGCCCACATCTGTTGTGATTCTGGCTTTGCAACTTTTCAGGGTAAATCTATATGATTTGTCTCCGCTTTTTCCAATACATTATATATCCTGAATGTGAGGTCTTAAAAAAATACAGACATATTTCCTCCTCCATTTGTCTCCGAATAAGTTATGTCAATTTTGTCACCTCGAACATGTGAACACAATACAATTTTTTACCTTTAAATGACTCTCAGAACTGTAAATTGGCGCCAAAGCAGTATTTACTTTTGGCGCAAATGAAATACAACCCTGTCGCGCAAATGAAATACTGCATTTTCAAAAATTGGCACAAATGCAATGTACCCATGTATATAACTATATTATCGTCTGAATAGTTATTTGAAATCGTTTGAATCATATGCATATTTGATACCGGTAGATTTTAAGAAAACCAACAGAAGAACTACTAGAATCAAAGAGGTCAGACGTTTGCCCAGGATAGAGAATTAGTTAAAATATCTGTTTCCCTGGCAATACTGAGTTGTGGTTTTCCATACCAAAATCATTGATTATTTCTGTTCTTATTATTTTGAGATGGCAACACACATCTTTCTCAGAGGACTCACACATTTTTTAAAAACTTTGGTGTTGATGGCATATCTTAGATATTTACTGTTAAACTTGTTTACTTTTTAAGACCAATGGCGTTTTAGAACTATCCATACCATATAGCCACGTGTCTATTGTTGAAGACAGTATGTCGCCCTCAAGATATTATTTGGTTATTTGTGTTCCCTGGCTGTCTCATAGTTGTATATCCCAGTCTCTCTTCATGATTTTCATATTCAATAAGGTTTAGAAATCAGATACTTTATTTCTGTTGAATTAATTCACAACATATTCACTCACGTAATCATATAAAAGTGTGGATGCTTATCAACCATTGACAACAGTATGGTGACCTGTGATGTTTTTATGGTAAACTTATCACGTTTGATGGCTGTCTCTTTGAAATGTAAACCCAGACAACCTTTTATTCACATGAACATTGAAGTTTTCCAATATATTTTGAGTGGTTTCAAAAACATTTTAATTTCTTGTTTTAAAATTTCCACGCTATTTCGCTTTCCTCTATAACAGAAACTGTAAATTAGAATATCTTTTAATTGAGAAATTTGATTGTGAAACAAGCACAGACCTGCAAGATGGTGACAAGGACAACTGTCAGATATTTGTGAAGCAACTTTGGACAAAATATGAATTAATAAATGTACAATTTGCTATATTGTATCATTTTTATACATGCTGCAAACCCATTTCTTGCATCCAGGAACTTTTGTTAAAACATGAAATAATACAAATGTTGATGTATCAGGTATTTTGACAAATAACATATCCCTCCAGTTGTTCTTGATGAAGTATATTGGGGAAATCATTCAGCTCAAAAAAATTAGGAGCATAAAACAGTCTCATTAACAGGCTTTAATTGATTCAAAAGAATAAGAAAAATGATTACATTACAGTCCATTAGAAATGTTTTATAAAACTATTCCCATTTGGTTTTGTATAACTCTTCTACTTTTAATTTTCACCAATTAAATGTTAAGGTATCATATTGTCTAAAAACATTGCATAATACTATTTAATGCTTTCATACAAGTTGAGAGAGAAAAAAACTGTATACTGGTAACATGAGAAGGATTATACTACCCCTTCTTTCAGCACCTTTAAAAGCACTAACAAAGTATGTATAACACAATTAATGGGATCATTACATCTGTGAAGAAAATTTCATGAACAAAATTTGTATTTCATAGTTCTATGGTTTTCATATTTGCCAATTTGTAAAAGTTCGCTAAGAGGTTAAGACTTAAAACCTAGGAATCAAATTAGTGTAGAACAATTAATTTGAATATTTATTTTTTTTTTTTACCTTTTCGAAGCCATAATACATTTTTAGCAATGTCTGAATGAAATCTTTCTAATGGCAGCATATAAAATATCATCAATGAAGGATTAAATGAAATCAGTTTAATAGTCATACAATCAGCTTAAAACTGTTGTGTGAAACTAGAAATGTGGGTCCAACCTGCTATATCATGTTTTTTGGTGGATGTTGTTTTTATTTGTTTTGTTTTTGTTTTTTGGGTTTTTTTTTAAGGGGGAGCAACTTGGGTTAATTTTCATGTTTCAAATGATCCTGTAAATTTATGCAAAATAAATAACTTATGAACAAATAAAAGCTAATTTCTTCAAACTGAAAAAAAAATTATAAAACTGGAAAAACTTATCAAAATATGGTGAAATATTAACTCTGCTGCTGCTAATAAGACATATCAAACCCAATTAAATATGCAGTTTTAATTTAACAATTCTAAATGAAAACAAGTTTTTCCCTATTTCATTGTGGAATTTATTGTATCAGCATTTTTAAATTAAAGAATTAATGTTGGTTAACATTTATAATAGGACAATATAAAAACTTGAAAATTTCATAAGGTAAATTGATGATGATTGTATTCATGCCTAATGTAAGACACCAACTAGTGCAAGGCTACTGAGCACAAAAGAATACATGTATGTATCTTATGTGATAAGTGTTTCTTCCATTAGGGCAGCAAACATGTTTTAAAGTTTAAAGATTACAAACCGGCAAAACAAGCAATCATTATTGTACAAAATAATAAAATTAACAAAAACAATTCATATTAATACACATTAAAACAAACAAAAAAAACCCTCTAACAAAAATCACCAAACTACCTATTTTCTCATCCATTATAAAATAATCATTAAAATTAGATAATATGTTTGTAAAGAACCAAGGCACTGAAAACTACAAGTAAAACATAGGTCACAGTGCATTGTTCAATAGAGGAAGGACTGTAGCAGTGAATTCCCATTCAATACATGAAATACCAAAGTTGTTCAAGCATGAAATGTAGGATAAAGTGCCATAAATACTGCTGAAAAGCATTGTTTCATAATACAAGGGAACAGATTTTGAATTTTTGAAATGTCACTTATATTTGTTATCATAGGTTTTTGAGATGTGTGTCTGAAAGTTACTTATTTTTGAAATGTTTGTCATTGTATCCCAAAAGTTTTGAACAAAATGGTAAAATATTTCTGTTCAGTTACCATATGACAAGAGTGAATTTATACATTTATTTTAATATACAAATTTCCCATATCAAAATGATTACCTACTTCTTAAATCTTTGGTTTACAATTTATGAACACTATTTATTACAACATAGCAACATTAAACTGAAAGTCAAAAGTATCAAATATGAAACTAGTCAATCAATAAAATTTGGTGAATCAAATACATGGTTTATTGAAATCTGTTTATCTAGTTTGATCACTTCAATAATTTTCATCATAAACTGTGATAAAACTCATCTGTATAGTGTGTATATTTTCAAATATCTGCCATGACAGTATACCATAAATAATCAATGTGGTATCATAGAACAATACAGCATGTTCTATTACAGTGGTCCTAAACTCTTGAAAATCTTAAAACCTTGTTTCAATTATTCCCCTCCACCTCTGAAACTTCCTGTCTTTCAGACCATATGTCAAATTAAGCTTAGAAAAAACTGATCATAAAGGACGGTAAAGTTGCAGTTTACATTTCATGACAATATATGATCAGGCTGAATGATTTACAGAAGCTCTATACGTGAAAATATTTGAATTTGTTCTTTTCTGGTTAATATATAGTCAAATATAACAACTTTCACTTCCGCTTTCTAATTTAGCTGAAATATTCATCAGTGATCTTTATGCAGGTTTTAATATATACTGACCCTTAGTAATAAGTCCATATAAAATACCCAAACTTTGGGTGGACCCAGGTACGGGACTGTATCCACCTTTAATCTGATCTTTTATGTTTTAGTACATTTTTCTGACTGTTAGGACCCCTTCCCCCTTTAAGGCCAAATTTTTTAATGGTTCTTCAGCCCCCCACCCCCAATTGAATTCCTTGATCCACCAATGGAAACTTATAATGCTGACATAATCATATGTAAATAGATCATCAGTAATTTTCTAAAAAGTATTAAGTAAGTTTCAGATGTAAAAAACTGGTACAACTTTCAATCAATTCTGTTATAGGATAAATCTGTAAAAAGATTAGGGTCAAACTTTAGGGTCTTATCAAATACTCCTCTATTTGTTCTATAAAAAATATTTTTTTGTAGTGCAGGTTGGTTGTTCTTTTGCTCATTAGACTGAAAGTTCTGTAACTTTTATTGACAATTAATAAAGACAGATTAATTCATCCTAAAATCCTTACATGTTTCCCTTTCATCCATAGACTGTGCAAGAAATTGAAAGACAACTTCTCATTTGCCTCTTAATTTAACACAATTATAAACAGTACCTTAAAAAAAAATCCATTCATACATAATAATATTCAGTGAAATGTACAATCAATACTAATGACATAGAAAAACATGGAAATTATACACTGTTTCCTCTCTTAAACTTTGTCATCCCCCATAAACACATGACTGAATTATATTTTTCTCAAAAAGATATTTATACATTAAATCAACCTTCTTAAAAGTGCAATATAGATTTAAATTTTATAAAATTTATTTCAATATACTCATTAAAGTGCTTTTATTGTATATCTAATTTGAACTCATTATGACATAATAATACATTGATCTCCAAGTACAAAAATGGTTTAGGTTTTACCCATAATTATAAGATTTCTTAATGCAATACATCAAATCAGCTAATATTCAAATATAGATATTAAATAACTATAACACCCTATGCATTATTTCTCAAATGTATGATCTTGTCATCAAAATCAAAAAAATATCAAAAACCTTTCCTGAAAAGATCTACCCATTTCTTATACTAAGACGTTGATGTGAGTAAGGTATATATGTAATGGTAAGATTGTTGCTTATATATAATTTTACCCGAAACTACATGTAAAATGACCATCCATTTTCATTTATCAATAAAAGTATAAACATAACTTTGATTCAGGAATTTTACTATATTTTCAATTTCTTGGACCAAATAATGCTTCTCTTTATACCCCCTCACTTGATCACAAAATTTCTTCTTAAAAAGTCCGGTAACCTATATCTTTTAAATTAAATTTTGAATGTATATACATTGAACTCTTTTCCAGAAAAATTTTAGGATAAATCTATAATATATGAAGTTAGCATCTTTCTGTATATTCATAAGTACACGTCTTTGGAATTTTCTACACGATTTTTATAAACAGTTCTAGAAAAAACAACCACAACAATATGAAGATTTCCAGTAGGAAATTCTTATAACTTGTATAAATATATGAAATACATAATTCTTATGGTTACTGAAATGTCTTATTCGAAATAAAAGTATAGATGAAATTATTTCTCAACTTTTGAACAAAGCATGATCATTTTTCCAAATACATATCATGATGTTAAAATAATTGAACACATAACTAGCAGATAATCATACGATAAACATATCAGTTCTCCTAAATCTTACTTGCAACAAATAAACACAGTGAACTATTGCAAATTTCACTTATGTGTTTTCTTATAGTCAGAAAGGAGACCACCTCTACCTTTGCCTCTTGTCTTTTTACTATCATTGCTGTATCCCCACATATTGTATTGAGGCATACCCATGCCAACTCCCAGCATGCCCCTCCCCATACCTTTCTTCCTTGTCTGTTGCATACCCATACCCAAACCCATTCCCATACCAAGCCCCATATCCATACCCAACCCTAAACCCATCCCTGAACCCCAAGTATAGTCATATCCTTGGTAATTGTATAAGTCAGGACATTCATCATAGCCTCGAAAGGCTCCAAGATGTGCTACCTCTTCACCCCTTGGCATATCTAATACGCCCAGGTCAGTTTTTGGATCACGGTATCCTCCCAAATGAGCAAATGTTTCTCCATCATACTGATAATCTTCTGCCCCAACATAATTACCATGTCTTTGGAACTGGTCAGGATTAAATCTAGCAGGGCTGATAATTTGTTTTTTACCTTTGCCACGTCCTCTCCCAGTTCCAATAGCACCCAGTTTAAACTCTTGCCCAGGTGGTGGAGGATTGTATGTTACTCCTTCAGGTATATGTCCACCTCTTTTCTCAATGTATAACTGACTTATTTCATCCACCAATTGACTAATGTTTGCCTTGGGCTTCTTTGCCCATCTTGGCTTTGATTTATTTTTTCCTTCTTCTTTTTCTTTTTTCACTTTCTCTAAGTGTTCTTCAAATTTGAACATTGCTGGTCTTCTTGACAATTGAAATTCTGGAATTTTCATGTCTTCATCCATTAAGTCAAGCAACATGTGAGGCTTCAACCATAAACAATCACCTGTCACACCATTTATATAAGGAGATGACCTCTTGTAAAATAATAATCCATCGATCTGAAAAAATATACAATTTTTAAAGAGCATATAAATAAGATTATTTTCCCAATCAAATCTAAAATGATTGCAGAAGGATAGGAAGGAAAGTGTGGTTTTATTTCATAGGTTTTGGGTTTTTTATGGTTGCCATTCCTTTTGAAGTATGCAAAACAACTCAAGTAATTATGTTAGTTGAGGAAAGGGGGGGGGGGGGGATTTTGGGAAATATTGTACTACCCACCCATATCTCTTTAAATGGAATAAACCTTTAATATTAGATATCCAAAGATGATAATGTCAATAAAATAAGAAGACCAATAATGTTTGGACATGCTTCACACAGAACTGGTTTGAAGAACTGCTCTCAGTGCCATAAAGATAGGAAAGGTGAAAGAATTTTTTTCACCAATCAAAATGCATGAACATAGCAGTTTCCATGGTAATGGAGAACATTCTCAGATTAAAGAAGTTTTTTTTACAGTACTGAAGCCATGATTAAATAATTATGGCAAGATATGTATGATGTGTAATATTGTTTTACTTCTTGGAAGGTATCTGAATATAGCCTTAATGTAGATGCAAAATTTGAAACAATGTTGAATGAAAACTGTTGGAGTTTCAGATGGCACAAACTAGGTAGCCTAGGTTGCAAATGGAAGGAAGCAATAACAGGCAGAATGGCAGAAGGAAGGAAGGATGGAGTAGAGCAGTTACAAGATCTGCTCTAGTCATCTTAACATGAGTTTGCTGGCCCTTATATCTCCAAATTTCAAATGATTTAGACAAATGTCAAGGTAAATACGAGTCATTAAACAGAGACCCATATGTAATAAATGGATGACAGGACCAGGATGAACATTAAATGTCCCTTTTGTCATACAAGTAGAACAACTGATTCTAACATGCTTTCAAAATAAATATCAAATAAGGGTATGATATTCTTTCTCCTCTATTTATCAATGTATAAACTATGAAAACTTACAATCTTGGTGATCAGCTGGATTACCTAATGTTAATTAAGTGTACCAATATCCAATGTTGAAAAGGTCCTAGACATCATTTATCTAAGCCTGCCTTTTGACCTAAGATCTTGATTTTTTAATGAAGATAGCCTCTTGTTCTAGTGCTTATATACTGTATATTTTTATTTATTTTTGTGGGTACCAAAATTCTTGGAATAAGGAAAAATTATATGTATGTGGATAATAGAATTCATGGTTTTTGATAAAGTTTACATATATAAGCTTACCAAATATTTGTGTATTTTGTTGAACACTAAATTTTGAGGTTTACTTTTACCCATGAGTACCCCATGAATAATGATGAATCCACATCATACCAAATTTTCATGAAGTCTGATAATGGAGTTCCTACTGTATGAACACAAAAATACATACACTGATGCACAGTACCATTACTATATCCCATTCCTCAACAATAGTTTTAATTACATTCATAACCAATCTGATGTATCCCAGTTGTGCAGGGACAATAAGTTTGACAAAGTTTTGTCCTGGATTCTTGATCTTATCTTGGACCTTAAAACAATTGTATTCTTATCATGGAAATTATTTACACAAAGTCTGGTGATATAATTCATTTCGCAATTGTGCATATTGTTCAACAGTTGCAATAATATATGCCCACAAAAATTTCTGAATTTACAGTACCTGAAATAAAACTTGTTTTCATACCTGATATGTTACACTATTTATTTCCTCTTCTATTGCCTTCTTTGTACATGGCACATCATTTACCATAATAAAATTGTGCTACAATGATAAAATAATAGTAAACAAAATTAACTGAAATCATTAATTGCTAGTCCGGAAAGACATTTCCTATGCTCACAGTAAAACTGACAACAAAACAATCTAATTGAAAGTGAAGTGTACTATATAGATCAACAGGATCTATGCCCATATGTCAACAATAGTAACTGATAAACCATTTTAAACCTTATTCATCTCCTTATGTTCAAAAAACAATAAGAGAGTCCTATACTGGATTTTCAGCATTTCAATATTGATCAGAATAAAGACTTAAGTTTGGTTATGATGGGAGTGCCCTGCTGTTTTAGATGATTAAAATAAAACGAGGAACAACAAGAAATGAGCTGTCAAATTACAGCAAACTGGGTTTGCCAATATATCAAGGACCATAACTCCTGAATGGCAAGAATGAAAATCATCAATTTCCAATTTCACCATCATTTTGTCATCAGTAACAGCATATATAAATTTAAAAAGCATTGGTTGAATGGTTCATAAGTAATTGCCAGAAACAACATAAAGTGTCATTTTTCAATCTATATGTTGTGTACAAGTTATCATGTTGTACAAATTATCATTTGTACAATTTGTACAAAAAGTGCCTGTACAAATTACAATTTGTACAAAATTCGACTAAAATTCACTTATAACTTGTACAATAATTTATAGTATGGATTTTGTTATATAAAAAGATTGAAACACACTTTAGAACTTTATTCAATGACCACACAATAAACCATATTTACAAAATACAAAAATACCCAGATGGAGACAGGAAATGTAATTGATACATGCATGCCAGTTAATTCTGATTGTACAATAGAAATTGGCCCCAGTGACAATTCTGACAGAATAATAAAAATTGGCCTCAGTGACAATTCTGATAGTATAATAGAAATTGACCCAGTGATAATTCTGATAGTATAATAGAAATTGGCCCGAGTGACAATTAGGATGACACTGTCGTTGAAACACCAATCATACGTGCCAGGAAGTGTGCGCTGTCTGGCCAACACATCCAAGCCGAATATTTAACCATGAAAACAAAACAGAAATTATCAGAACTTGCTGTGGTGGATAATGTCATTATACCAATGCCTCAGTATGATCGTGCCATAACTGATTCTCGAAACATCTTCTGTGTAATTATTGAATCTGGAGAATTTAGGTACCACATTGGAACAGCTGTAGGAATTTTAACAGGATAGTTGTTGAGAAATCAAATAGAAGCTGTCAACAACACATCTTTATTTGCAGCAATGGTTTCTGAGCTTCAACTTTCGCTACGTGAAGCAGTTAAAAAGATTTCAAAAACTGGTGGTCAGGGTTTTCTTTCATGTAAATGCAAAGGGGGTATCAGCACTTCTAAATGTAAATGTAAAAAGCAAAAGATGTTGTACTATTCCCGATGCGACAATTCACTCACATGCTCAAACAAATGATACAAAACTATTTATGTATTTTGTAAATAAGGTTTATTGTGTGGTCATTGAAAAAAAATGATATAGTGTGTATCAATGCTTTTTTTTCAAATTTTGTACAAACTGTAATTTGCACAAGCACTTTTGGTACAAATTACAATTTGTTCAAAGTCAAAATACATATTATAATTTGTACAATTTTTTTATACAAATCATAATTTGTACAAAATGATAACTTGTACACAACATATATATAAAACAAGAGTGCACACGCTGAAATGTCTCGCCTTCTTTACTAACCACTGATATTATGTTGATAGTCCTATATATAAAGCTTTACTACAACTATCACATAAACTTAACTTGATCCAAGAAAATGAGGTCAAGGTCATATAAACCAAACGAGAAATACATGTACACCTTACAATCATTCAATACACTAAATATAGTTGACCTATTGCTTATAGTTTCTAAGAAACAGACTTAACCAAGAAAACTAAACATTGACCAATGAACCATGAAAATGAGGTTTAGGTCAGATGAACCATGCCAGGTAGACATGTACAGCTTACAATCCTTCCATACAACAAATATAGTTGACCTATTGCTTATAGTTTAAGAAAAACAGACCAAAACACAAAAACTTAACACTGAGCAATGAACCGTGAAAATGAGGTCAAGGTCAAATAAAACCTGCGAGACTGACATGTACATCATAAAGTAGTTCCATACACCAAATATAGTTGACCTATCGCATATAGTATTAGAAAAAAAAACCAAAACTCAAAAACTTAACTTTGACCACTGAACCATGAAAATGAGGTCAAGGTCAGATGACACCTGCCAGTTGGACATGTAAACTTTACAATCATTCCATACACCAAATATAGTAGACCTATTGCATACAGTATAAGAAAAAGAGACCAAAACACAAAAACTTAACTATAACCACTGAACCATGAAAATGAGGTCAAGGTCAGATGACACCTGCCAGCTGGACATGTACACCTCACAATCCTTCCATACACCAAATATACTAGACCTATTGCTTATAGTATCTGAGATATGGATTTGACCACCAAAACTTAACCTTGTTCACTGATCCATGAAATGAGGTTGAGGTCAAGTGAAAACTGTGTGGCGGGCATGAGGACCTTGCAAGGTACACACATACCAAATATAGTTATCCTATTACTCATAATAAGAGAGAAATTAACATTACAAAAAATCTTAACTTTTTTTCAAGTAGTCACTGAACCATGAAAATGAGGTCAAGGACAATGGACATGAGACAGACGGAAACTTCATAACATAAGGCATCTATATACAAAGTATGAAGCATCCATGTCTTCCACCTTCTAAAATATAAAGCTTTTAAGAAGTTAGTTAACGCCGCCGCTGCAGCCGGATCACTATCCCTATGTCAAGCTTTCTGCGACTAAAGTCGCAGGCTCGACAAAAACCATAACTCCTGGACAACATAAGTGAAAATCAACTATATCTAAGATGACCTTCTTTTTGTCATCAGTAACCACATATTAAAAATCAAAGTGCATTGGTTTGCACGGAAACGACATAAAATGACATTTTCCAATAGATCAAGGACCATTATAACTCTGAACTGTACAGTGAAAATCATCAATATTGAACTTGACCGCCATTTTGTCATCAGTAACAACATATCATAATTTGATAACCATACTAGAAGGGTTCATGAGTCATTAAACGGAAAGCCCAGTTAAAAATGAATCATTATTTAACAAAGATTGGCAGGAAATTCATATAATTTTCCAGACGTATTTTTTTCTCCTTTTTTGGTAAAATTTTTTAATTTATTTTTTTAGTAACAGTTTGAAGGTGGTTGAGGTCATTAGCCATAAAATCTGAATGAGTATAATGAATATAATGAAGTTTTGGTTAAAATTTACCTTTCCTGACTTGTACAGCCATGAAATGAGAGAAAATTATGTAAATTTGCGAAATTATGCAAAACTTTACTATTGACTTATACATGCTTTGAAATAATATACTTAAAAAGATATTCAAACAATAATTATAATTTGTGTTTATCTATCCACTGACAAAAAAAAGGTTATGAGCAAAACTTGTACTATATGTTAATTCAGTCAAAATTTTCTTACAATTAGCCTATTTTTTTCTAAAAATCAAACAAATCTCACTTATGATGTCACTTTCCAGATGTCATGGTCAAATTGTGTAATCAAGGTTTGGCTTATATTCATATTTTCTAAAAACAGTTCTTCTAATGCTTAAAAATGTGTTCAATAATGACATAATGCAATGCTTTATTTTTGGGAGAATTAACAGGGCCAATTAAGCCCCAAAATGTACATTGTCTTTTATTTTTGGGAGAAATAACAGGGCCAAATAAGCCCCAAAATGTACATTGTCCATTATTTTTGGCAGAAATTAACTGGGCCAAAATAAGCCCCAAAATGTTCATTGTCCTTTATTCAAAGGCAATACAAAATTTATCAATTAACCAACGTTTGGTAGCAATTGGCCCTTAACTTTGACAGATGACAGATGATGGATGTCAAATGATAGCAAAAGCTCACACATATTGGCTACCCGAACTAAAAATCTGAATACAATGATAATACAATAAATTTTGACAAAATGTTGACACATATTATTCTATTGATCAATATTTAAAAGGGAGAGGATTGAGATCTCAAAACAAAAGTTCAACCTGTCACATTTTTATGTCGGGAATCTCCTCAGTAGTTGTTGCATGTCATATCTTGATATATTTTATTACTGGAGAACTGGGTATTAATGGCAGATCTTTATTGTTTGTGGTCAATATATCCACAACTTTAATAAACTTGGGATGAATGAGAGTTTGAGATAATGTGAAGACACCTGTCTTTTGATGAAGACTATATGTTAGCCTCCTCTAGATGTCGTTTGGTTATTGTTGTCATTGGTATGCAGTCTTAATTATGTATATCCCACATCTCCTTTTATTCATAATGTGGCTATCAACTTATCAGACATTGTCTATAAAGTTTGTCAAAAGCACAAATAGTAAGCTACTTCTTGATATTATTTTATACTTGCACCATGGTCTTTTTGATCGGTAAACGGACAGAAAGTCACAGGACAAAAAGTCACAGGACATAAAGTCACAAATTTGACAGGACAAAAAGTCATAAATAATTTGTTTATAATTGTTTGAATATATAAGAGAAAGATCTTGAAATAATAACTTTTTACTACATATATTCATTTTACAGTTTAGGAAATTGTTCATAAGCCTTGATAAACGAAGATTATCAAATTTAAATAATGCAAAGGATATATTTTCTTGGCACCATGAAGCCATTTAAGTACCAAGCCACTTTGACAATTATTTGATCATTATTGATTTCGTTAGAATGCATTTTGTTTAAAGAGTTGCTTTATATATTATAGTTCAAGAAAAATAGAAAAAAATATATTTAAAAATAAGCGTTTTCATATTTAAAGAAAAATAATCTCGAAATGGACTTGACTTTTTGTCCTGTGATCTTTTGTCCCTGACTTTTTATCCTGTGATCTTTTGTCCGTGACTTTTTGTCTGTGACTTTTTGTCTGTGACTTTCTGTCCTACATTCTTTTTGATCACATGATTCACTGGTAACACAGTATAAAGTTTTTGCATATAATCATCAATAATAATGTCATTTTCAAAATTTCGGACAATTATTCCTATCTCTCCATAAAACCTGGTTGAAACCCTATTCACATTTAGAACTTACTTCGTTTAACTTTGAAACTCTATCTAACCATAGCCTCTCATCATTCAGTCTTTGTTTCAGCCAGAAATATCGGAAATCAGCCTGAAATCAAAAAACAGAAAATCTTACAGATCATAAAAATAAAGTATTTGTGGAAATCTGTAAATACTTATATTTCGGATGGTCAATTCAGATTCTCAATAACAAATGCAGGCTGAATTTAAGTATTGATTGACATGCACAATCTTTTATTACACTTTTGAGTAACTGCACCATCTTTGTCCCTGATGCTGGGTTAATGGCTGAGAATTTCATAAATGTAGTTTGTTTTTAACAAATTGCATTGATTTTTTCAGTACAAAAGTCTATAAAATTTTGTGCTTCAGTTAAATAAATAAAAAACTTGTATTATCATATATACAGTCGAACCTCGTTGTGTCGAAAACTCGGATGAGTCAAAGCAATTGCTTGGTCATGGTAAAATTCCCATTTGATCAATGCATATTTACCTCTGATGAGTCGAACTCTGTTGATTCGAATCCTCAGTTAAGTCGAGTAATTTTTATAGCCCCGTTGATTTAAAATAAATGTAAATTGTCTCGAAGGTCGAAAGTAAGAATTTTTTAAAGATGCAGAACTAAACAATTCAAATCAGATGTATTTCTTGTGCAACCTAATCATTTTCAAAAGATATTAAAGCTGTGTAAATATACTTGTTTGTATAACAGTTATAATGACAAGTTTATGGTGATTGGTAATTAACACCTTTGTTGATTGTCCAAGCCAAACTTTAGTGTGTTGAACATATTTCACATGACATAAAAACGAAACGAATCTTAATGACCCAAGCCGAGATGATATCAATTGTTAAAAAAAAATCCATTAATAACAATAAATAAAAGGATTAAGACAACTATGATCAATTTAAAATAAATAATTGAAAACAGACGACTCTCTATCATCAGAGATCTTTCTGAACTTGGTACATTCCTAGAGTGATTTCGTAATTTATGGTGACTGACCTTTGTATATACAAAAAAGGTATTAGTGTATTGATTTTATTTGTGAATGTTTTGTATCTGTCCTTGTGTGTTAAATTATTACGAGGGACCAAAAAATATGGAGATTGAATACACAATCATAAAGTATCAAATAAAAAAGGCACACTGTTTAAAATATATAGTTTACACAAGTCTCATACCGTATTTCATGGATTCCAAATTTATGACGACACACTCGACCTGGGATGAGTCGAACCTCCGATAAGTCGAATACTTTTGTCCAAACCCATCGATTTTGGCATAACTAGGTTCGACTGTACTTAAAAAAAGAAATCTTGTCCAACTTTGTCGAGATACTTTATAATAAAATATTAACCAAACAATCCACCATATCATTAAGTCTATGAGAAGAACTAGTATAGAGGTTTTAATTAGTGAACCATTTTACTAAATTTCATTAAATGTTTGAGGACATCAAGGTTGACCTTGCACAACCGTTCAAGGAGTTCTGAAAGAACTTGCATACAATTTCTACGGGTGATTAGCTTTCATTATATTTAAGCATCAAGCATATGGTAATAAATGGAAAATGTGTCCCCATGGACAGAGATGATGCCCCCTGTATAGGTTTCATGATGTTTGGTTGGGGTGAACTTAAGTTACAGAACGGAAACTAAAAATTTTGCAATTTTTCTATTTATAAAGGGGCATTACTCGATAATGGTTAAAGTGACGCCACCAAAATTCAATTTGATCTGTGTTTTGTGGTAAGGAGCATTGTGTATAAGTTTCATAACATTTGGTTGAGGCAACTTAAGTTAGAGAACGGAAACTAAAAATTTTGCATTTTTTTTTTCCATTTATAAAGGGGCATAACTCGAGAATGGTTGAAGTGACCCCACCAAAATTCAAACTTGATCTGTGTTTTGTCATAATAAGCATTGTGTATAAGTTTTATAACATTTGGTAGAGGCAAACTTAAGTTAGAGAACTGAAACTAAAAATTTTGTAATTTTTTCATTTATAAAGGGGCATAACTCTTGAACGGTTAGAGTGACGCTACCAAAATTCAAACTTGATCTGTATTATGTGGTAATAAGCATTGTGTATAAGTTTTATAACATTTGGTCTCCGCAAACTCAAGTAAGAGAACGGAAACCAACTTTGGGACGTATGGATGTACGTACGGGCTTCAAAAAAAAAAGCGCCCAAAGACCTCTTTTTTTTTCTTCAGAAATATCCTCCAAGAAAGATAACTTGTAAATTGAATACCAATTATATTACCTTCTGTAATTTACACAATATTTAATTAAGAATGTTCGCTCCTCTTGTTTTTGAATTTTTGCCAGATTTTCTTATTCCTCTGGTTTAATCAATGTTTTGCCATTAAATAATTTTGTCCACTAACCCCTACTTTTTCATAATTTTATTTCATATAGTTTTAAAAGCCATATTTGAAAATCTTATAAAATCCTTGTTATTTTTTTCATAGTTTTTAAAAGAGAACAATGTTAAAAGTATGAAAACTCTAGAGAGAATCATTTCCCCGCCAAATTTTCAATGGCTTATACTGTGGATTCACTATTATTCGTTGGATACCAATTTTCGTGGGTTTCGTGGGTAAAGGTGAACCACGAATTCAAATGTTCAACGAATAACATATTTTTAATAGGCTTTGTATACAGAGATTGGCAAAACCACGAAATCAAATATCCACGAATATGCAAGTTTTGAACAATCCACGAAAATTGATACCCACGAAAATAAATGAATCCACAGTATCTCAAAAACAAGCACATGGCCTATTCATTTTTTCTGCTTTTTTAGTTCCTTTATTTATATACTATCAATTTATTACAGTCTTTTAAAAAGCTTGTTATTTTGAAACAGAGTAGCGACCATCCTTAATATTGTTAATAGTATAGTACCTCACAATCCTGGAGATTTTGATCTTTCCAGTACATGACATCAATAATATAGAACGTGTTTTCACTTTTATTATATATACAATCTAGGATACATGACCCTGAAAAATAGAAGATCATAATATTATCATTTTAATAATTAAATAACCTTAGAGAGCAGACTCACAATACCTCATACCAAATAGTCCCTGAGAAAAATGTGATAGGAAAATGTTACTGACAGGAAACGGGGATTGATGAAAAGACAACCCGAAGTTAATCAATATATCCCCTCCCTACTTTAGAAGGGGGTTATAATTATTCAGAATCAGAAAGTATAAGATCATTACCTTTTTAATAAAAGACAATGTAAAACACCAAAAATAATCTTTTATGATCACAACAGCTTTGTCTGTTCTTCAACATAGCCTTGATGTATGGCAAAAGATGCACTGCTCATATTTATATATAATTCATATTTTTTAATATGCAAAATCAAACATCACCTTTTGTGACCTAATCAAAAAAAATTATACGAGAAAAAATACTGTGGTCAGGTCATTAAGGATTGCATATTTTGGTATTAATATTGATTCCCTCATAGGGTCTTTGCATCGGAAATAAACATTTATTCTAAAACCAGTTGTTGGCATGATACGGGTTATGTTCTTCTCATATATTTTATGATGGTATGATACTAAACCCCTAACGGGAGGGATTGTACCTGATTTTCATATGATGAAGACATAATCTTTCAATCAGTTTAATTGAGGTTTGGAGCTGGCATGTCAGTAACTGCTAGTAGTCCTTTGTTAATTTATGTATCATTGTCATTTTGCTTAGTTTCTTTTGTTACCTATTCTGACATCGGACTCTGACTTTTTTTAAACTGAGTTTTACTGTATGTATTGCTATGTGTTTCTTTATTCTACATTGGCTAGAGGTATAGGGGGAGGGTTGAGATCTCACAAAACATGTTTAACCCCGCCGCATTTTTGCGCCTGTCCCAAGTCAGGAGCCTCTGGCCTTTGTTAGTCTTGTATGTTTTTTTAATTTTAGTTCCTTTATATGTTTTGGAGTTTAGTGTGACGTCCATTTTCACTGAACCAGTACACAATTTTATTTAGGGGCCAGCTGAGGACCACCTCCGGGTGCAGGATTTTCTCGCTGTGTTGAAGACCCTATGGTGGCCTTCGGCTGTTATCTGCTCTTTGGTTGGGTTGTCCCTTTGACATATTCCCCATTTCCATTCTCAATTTTATTGTAAGTCATGAACAATTCAGTATAACTTACGGCCAATTTCAGTTGTAATATTTTTTGTGAAAAGAGCTACTGACGTGTAAAAATACTTGTTACAAATTTTATACATATATATACATTGCTAAATCCACAATTAGTATGCACTGTATATAGTTTAAAGAATTTCTAGTAGTTGAGAGATAATTTACTTTTTTGTAATATATAAAATTATAGATTTATATTCAATCTGTCAACTTATACTGACCTCTAGAATTACTAGGATTGCCTCCAGGTAAGAGGGATCTAAACCCATCCATCACCATCCCCATCTTATTCTGTGAGCAGGTTGTACCCTAAAAGTTCAGTAGTAAAAGTTTTAAGTTTGAATTCAAATATATTGTATAACATACATGTTCTTAATACACAACTGTTACAGATCCAAGTCTGAGGTAAAACAAATAGATTTAGTTCACAGGATTTGATATAAAATTCCAATCATCAACCTATTGTTTTGGTATGTTGTTTCAATATTTACATGCATTGTATAGCTAAGTGATTAATAATCATACAAAGAACAACAATTTTACTAAACATGTCAGATAATAAAAAGTGGAACATATAGCATGAAATCAGCACTTTGACTTTGAGATGAAAAACAACACTGTTCTTTTGCCTTGTTAATCAAGTATGTGTTGACAGCTGTGTCATGAATTAAATCATAATATCCTTCTTTTCCATTTTGAAAATAAAACAAAAAATAGAAAATAGAACTAGAGGCTCTCAAGAGCCTGTGTCGCTCACCTGTATTTCTGATGCTTTGGAAATCATGTAAAATAAGGTTAAAATCATAATTAATAGTATTAGATATTAGATATTATAATGATATCCAAGATAATAACAAAAAACTGCAAAATTATTGTAAAATAACTAACTCAGGGGCAGCAACCCAACAATGGGTTGTCAGATTCATCTGAAAATTTCAGGGCAGATAAATCTTAATCTGATGAACATTTTTGCCACCTGTCAGATTTGCTCTAAATGCTTTAGTTTCAGAGATATAAACCAAAAACTGCATTTTACCCCTATGTTCTATTTTTAACCAAGTCGGCCATGATGGTTGGAAGGCGGGGTCATCGGACAAATTTTTGAAACTAGATACCCTAATAATGATTATGGCCAAGTATGGTTAAATTTGTCTTAGTAGTTTCAGAGAAGATTTTTGTAAAAGATTACAAAAATTTACAAAACATTGTTAAAAATTAACTATTAAGGGCAATAACTCCTAAAGGGGTTGACTGAAAATTTTGGTCATGACAACTTATTTGTAGATCTTACTTTGCTGAACATTATTGCTGTTCACAGTTTATCTCTATCTATAATAATATTCAAGATAATAACCAAAAACTGCAAAATTTCCTTAAAATTACCAATTTAGGGGCAGCAACCCAACAACAGAATGTCCGATTCATCTGAAAATTTCAGGGCAGATAGATCTTGACCTAATAAACAATTTTACCCGTCAGATTTGCTCTAAATGCTTTGGTTTCAGAGATATAAGCCAAAATCTACATTTTACCCCTATGTTCTATTTTTAACCATGGCAGCCATCTTGGTTGGTTGGCCGGGTCACCGGACACATTTTTTAAACTAGATACCCCAATGATGATTGTGGCCAAGTTTGGTTTAATTTGGCCAAGTAGTTTCAGAGGAGAAGATTTTTGGAAAAGTTAACGACCACGGACGACAGACGCCAAGTGATGAGAAAAGCTCACTTGGCCCTTTGGGCCAGGTGAGCTAAAAATGGGCTAAAAAATAGAGTAAAGAGAATAATGGGGTGCTAAAATATAAATTATCTATAAAATGTACTAAAATATAAATTATCTATAAAATGTACTAAATAAAATTGAATAGAATTTTTTTTGACTAAAATATAAAAAATACTGAAATGAAGATTCAGATCAAAGGTTTCAATGAAAGTTAAATAAAAGAACAGAGTTCTAATGTCCCCCATGTTGCACATATTTTATCTATCCAAGGTACAAGGGCAATAACTAAAAAAACATTTTTTTTTTGTTCTTTAAAACTTTTTATAAATACCTTAGAGAAATGAAGGCTTCAGAGCAAATGCAATGCAATTTCCATTATAATTAATATTTCCAAGGGACCTAACTCGTTAAAATAATTTGATCAGCACTTATTTTCCAAAGTGTCAATGACATTGCTGATATAAACCTATGATATAAGTTTCATAAATTCTGGCAAGAATTGTAAACATGAGAGCACTAACAATGCAATTTTCCATAACATCAATATTTCCAAGGGGCATAATTCTTTAAAAAATAATTGATCAGCACTGATTTTCGAATTTGTCATAGACATTGATGATATAAACCTATAACATAAATTTCATAAAAATCTAGCAAGAAATGTACACATGAGAGCGCTATGGATGGACGGACAGACACCCAGTATTTCTATTTCCCCCACAATGCTTTTGCAGGGGACAATAAACTAAGTAAACCTTCATAGATTTCTGGTTTTTTAATGCGATTGCTGTCTCATTGAACTTTGACCATCATCTCCTTCTTTTTGTATTAAAATATAGATCTAGACCCTTGACTTGACCTCTAGATCATAATTAATTGAAAATCAAAAGAAGTTATTTTTCTTTGTGGTATATATATAAAAGCTTCTCTCATGAATATATCCATGCTGTGTATCATGTAAACATGGCATGGATTACTAAAATATACATTTACCCCTTACCTCTGCATAGCTGTTTAATTATACCCCCCTCCTTAGATGTAAAAAAATATAAATATATCATATAAAAGTTCATATACCGGACACATAAATCCTTTATTTCACCTATTTAGATATTTTATTGGAATAGCCTACCATTCCAGACATAACCATTTGTCTTTTTCCCGTTGGACAAGCTATCATAAACCAATCTGTTTCAAATTTCTCTGGTAAAGCTGTCATCCATTCAGACTGCATCAGCTTAAATATAAAAGATAATGAAATTTCATATACCGGTACTGTATAAACAAAAGAAATGCCTTTAAGTACATATGCACAGTGATGGCTAAGTTGAACTAAGTTTTGATCAATTTTCAATGTAGTTGTTTTCTCCCCTGTACCTAACACTCCTTTCAATATTGGTGAATAATCATGCTAAGTTAGATAACCAAACTCAAAAGGGTTTCAAAGTAATAGAGCGGAATTTTTTTTGTACATATACACAGGGGCTATGGTACTAAGTAGAACTAAGTTTTTCACCATGATCTTCACTTTAGGATTTTTCTTCCATGTATGCCACTCACCTGTTAGTAGTGGTGTATGCTCTTGTTAAGTATCATTTAGACACTTCTGCAGGTTAGAATATACTGCTTCGCTGAGCGCAGCTGGATACGCCCGCAGAGGTCCAACCCTGAACAGTTGGGGCAAAAATGGACACAATATTCAAGCTTGATACAGGTCTGAATTTGGATTGTAATTAAATATTTGACATATTATAGGTTTCTGAATAAATGTAGTCATAGAAATTGAAATTGGTTATATGAATTGAATTTATATTCAATTAAAGATTTCTTGCTGTTGTGCAATACACTGTGCTGTTGCGCAATACTAAGTAAATCTGTTGTCAGACTATAAACAAATAAAGTTCAATTAATTCTCAATGTCATATTAGAAATTTATGAAAATGTAAAGGGAGCTTACATCAATAGATATAAACAATTCACCAAAGTTTCATGAGAATTGCTGACAGCATTTTTGAGTTATTGTTCGAAAACTGGAAAATCCCCCCTTTTTTAATGAATAAAACAACATAACTCAGAAATGATAAATGAAAAATTTATAAAATTCTAAACGGAGCTTACATCAGTAGATATAAACAATTCACCAAAGTTTCATAAGAACTGCTGAAAGCATTTTTGATTTTTTGTTCGAAAACTGGAAAATCCCCCCTTTTTTAATGAATAAAACAACATAACTCAGAAATGATAAATGAAAAATTTATAAAATTCTAAACGGAGCTTACATCAATAGATATAAACAATTCACCAAAGTTTCATAAGAACTGCTGAAAGCATTTTTGATTTTTTGTTCGAAAAATGGAAAAAACCACTTTTTTTATGAATAAAACCCTGTAAACTTAAATCTAAAATATATAAAAATCGAAAGGAAGCTCATGTCAATAGATATAAACAATTCACCACAATTTCTTGCAAGTTGGTGAAAGCGTTTTTGAGTTAATGTCCAACATGTTGACGACGGACGGATAGACAGACAGACGGACGGACGGACAGACGGACAATGGTATACCATAATACGTCCCGTAAACGGGCGTATAAAAATGGAGAACAGAATTAAATTGTGCTGGACACGTAAATTCATATAATAAATATAAGCCTGTCGTTGATTTATTACCCTGATAAAGCATACTAAATTTTAACATAATATGCGAATCTATTTTATTCATTAATTTATAGCTATCTTATTTAACCAACTGTTTTATTTTTTCCATCATTTGAGCAAATGAAATCAGAATATGTCACCACTTTTTTGACATCTTAAATTTATCCTAAAAACCAAACAAAATTATTTATTCTTATTTCTTGATCATGAACAAAATTTTGTCCATGTCTCATTAAATTTGTTTCAAGTTAAACAAAGATATTGATGTCTTTAAAACTTTAACCTCAGATTGTATCTAAATGTTATAAAAAATACCTCAATCCATTTATCAGTAAAATACAGAAAACTGAAAAAAATCAATTTCAAAATTTTTCTCCAGATCATCTCCCTTGATCATGAAGAACCTTGTTAGAATTTTGTTAAAAAGCCCTGAAGGTTTGACAATTTTATAAATGTAAATAGACTTTAACCACAGACAGAACCTAAATGTTGAGGATGCTCATGACAACAGAATGTAAGAACTTTTGTCTAGCCTTCACGACTGTCATTGCATACAATACAAAAAAGGTGCAAGGAATATGCTCACCTGGAGAATGTGAAAAACCAACTTTCTAAAAATCAGAGGTCTTCTCTCAACTGTATAAGTTTGGTAATATTCTATATATCTTTAAAACGGTACAAATTAGAGACCAAATTTTGCAATCAAATTTTCATCTATTGATTGCTGCTTTTTCAGTAAGCTTTGGCATAGGGATTTCATATAAAGTTTTCCTCTCCTAGTTGGACTCATTGGGGTCTAAGCGTGACCCGGGACTAGCAAATTTTTTGTAAGCGTGATTCATGAAAGTCAAATTATTTGTACGTGAAAACAGAAAACTAAGTCGGGCGGGACACGTGAAGTTACAAGCGTTATATATTATTACAATGATAAGCAGGATATGGGAATCTGACAAAACAATAAGCGGGATCTGGGATTAGACCCCCCTCCTAGGGGCATCATCGGTCTTCAGTTTTAGAAAAATAAGCAACCACAAAGTGTTGAAACCCTTCACAACACTGTGTTCAACCTATCAAACAACTGTATAATGTTGAATAAGCATAAGACCTTACCATATACTCTCACCTGACATTGTTTCTTGACCTCTGACCTGGATATTTGGCAGAGTTTTAATGTTCTCATGCTATCTATTGTATAGACTTCAATGTAGGCTACATGAATGACTAGTTGATTTTTCTCTGTAGATATGTTTGCAAGACATGCATGTTGTAGCAGCTTGAGTTAGCAAAGTGATTTTGTGGAGAGTTGATTTGTTAGATTAAAATATAACTTTGATGCACTTGTCTAGGCAAGCTGTTTCCCATAGATCTGTGAATAGTTTTTGTTCATAAATACCAAATTGGTGTATGAGAAAATCACACTATTTATAATCTATTGTCATGATAGTGTAGGCATATCATCTAATTTGAGCAGATTTATGATCTCCTGTTATTTTCCCCTAGAGGTGGTTGACAACAATATATAGTGTTATCAACATCTAGCAAAGGACTTCACTAACTTAATTTTAAGGGCTATTTTGTAATTTGCAGCAAGATGTGGTGAGATTTTGCTATTTGCTAAAGGCCTCCATATGACTCTGAGATGAGGAACAGTAATATCTTGGATTTTGTATCAAGAAAAAATCACCAGATTCATTTTTACCATTATAATAGACCACTTTCAAGTTATGTCCTACAACGGAAAAGTTCGTCAATTATGCACGCCTTTATGATGTCATTTACCAGATATAGGGGACTGCCTGTATCCCTGCACTATTAAAGTTCATCAAGCGTCTTCGTGATCATCATTTTGCAGGATAAACTAGAAATAATGTTTATTCCGTAGGTACTTAATCACAATTCCCTAATGACAGCAGTGCTGATCATCAATTATAAGAATTTAATTTGCCTAATAATTTGTGCAATAAAGCATCAGATTTTTTTCAACCACTAGCTCAACATGGGAAGGAAGTGACACTGCCCCTGAACGCACAAATGATGTTCACTAAAAAGTTTTTGACGGAATGCATGGAACTGGAAAGTGGTCTCGTATGTTTGGTGATTTTTTTTTTCTTGAAAATTTTTTTCATGCTGCATAAGTCTGCTTTTGCTTTACTTTCATTGTCATACATTTCAACCAATCAAAATGCATAAATTAATATGGAAGTTCCTTTGGTTATCTCAAACAAAAGAAGCACTGTAGTCATATGTAACTTATTATGACAATGTTGTATGTTGAAAAAGATTTGTTTCTATCTTTTTTTTTAGGTAAATTACAATTTTGCTTTGGATACTGTCTTTTGATTATGAAGAAGCTACTGTCTAAGTTTAAATTCCATAAAGTTTTGACAAAGTTAGCACAAACAACATTTAACCCTGCCACATTGTTTATGTGCCTGTCCCAAGTCAGGAGCCTGTAGTTCAGTGGTTGTCTTTGGTTCATGTCTGTCATATTTGTTTTTTGTAAATTGTTTCGTTATAAATTAGGCCGTTGGTTTCCTCAATCATGAGCCTGTAGTTCAGTGGTTGTCTTTGGTTCATGTCTGTCATATTTGTTTTTTGTAAATTGTTTTGTTATAAATTAGGCCATTGATTTCCTCAATTGAACTGTTTCATATTTTTCATGTCAGGGCCTTTTATACCCGACCATACGGTATGGGTTTTTCTCATTGTTGAAGGCTGTACGGTTGCCTATAGTTGCTTACATCCACTTCATTTGAACTTTGGTGGATAGTTGTCTCATTGGCAATCTCCTTATTTTTATATAGATGTCTAAAAACATCTTTAACCACAGATAACAACGATAGAATGAAGCATTGCTATTTCCAGCATTGAACACTTTTGCTGATGATTTAAATGTGTAGTGTGACAATGCTCACAAACTTGAATTTCCATTTTATTTACATTTCACAGGGGCGTAACCCAAAAAAAAAAACCAGATAAGCCAATGATTTTCCAATTCATCCAAAGATATTGGTGATGTTTTTAGCGTTAAAACATAAATTTCATTAAACTCAAATGAAAAATATAAGTATGCATTCTCTTAAAAAAGTGATTTCCAAAAGAATTCACATTTCGTACCTCCTAAAGAATAATTTATCAGTACTGATTATCAAACTAGTAAACCTCTGACATAAATTTCATATAACTAGGATATGAAATGTGAGAGTGAGTAATGATGATTTTTCATTTCATTTATAACTCTAACAAGCACAAATCCACAAAAATCACCAACCAGCCCAGATTTTCAAAATGTATGAAATACTGCTGTTGTAAACCTTTGAAATAGATTTCATTTAAATTTGATGAGATCTGTAAGTGTAACAGTACTCCCTGTTGGATGAAAGTAAAAAATAGACAGACATCAGTCGTCATATTTTTCATATTCCCAGCTCTGCTCCACTGGAGCGAACTAAAACCATCAAAGGAACTTATGCTTACTACTGCAAAGCACCATTTTCACATGAACAGACAGCCACCTCAGACAAAATAATCTGGACTGGTGATTTTTATGATTCAACATTTCCCCATAATGACATTTAAACTTAATGGCTGCAACAGTTACAAAAGTACATTTACAAATTTTATAAATGTTTAAAAAAAAAACACTTCTTTGTATAAACCTTACAATACAAAAAAAATTTTGTCAAATTTATTTCTTAAAGACATTTACCACAAAATTTGTTTTATCTCTTGTCAATCTCTTTATCCATGATGGCTGTCATATCCTTGTGCATCAAATCATGAAATTAATCTGTTATGAGAATAAAGTAAAATAATTTTGCATTTATTTTCATATTTCAACATACATTATAACATTAAAAAGAACAGAACTCAAACATCCTCAATTCTTTTTAAAACTTGTTCTCATAGTTAAAAGCCTTCCTAGAAATTCCTTATTGCATCACTTTCTCAAATTGTGTTTTTTATTTGATACTGTTGCAGCCATTAAGAATTTTCAACCTTAAAACTGGCAAAAAAACAAATCACAGATCTTATTTTGTAAGAGAAAGGAAATTATCATTCAATTCCATCCCCTCCTCCTTCATGAATTTCAATTATGCCAGAATCTTGTTCATACTGTTCACTTTGTCCATTATAATCTCCCTGACCTTGACCTTCTTTACTCACTTCCATTTCATCTTCCTTTTTATCTCCATATTGGTCATCATAGTAATAGTCCTGATATCCGTAATAATCCTGATTACCATATCCATAGCCACTGTAATCGTAGCCCTGATTTTGTTGTTGTTGCTGCTGTCGATTATTTCTTCTTCCTTTCTTTTTCTTCACCTTTTCACCTGTTGTTTCCATTTTTTCTCCTTTTTCCTTAAATTCTTTTTGTCTTGCTTCCTTTTTAGCCTTAATTTCAACCTCTTTTTTTTCCTTGTCTATGGCAACCTGTTCCATATGAGCAGCATATGTGGTGTAATTGTCAGGTTTTTGTGCTGCAAGTTTTTCTGGAACAGTCATGCCTAGAATTTCAGGAAGCATGTATGGTTTAAGCCAGACTACAAGAGGAGTTGAACCAAATGTATAATGTGTTCTCTTATGATAAAATAACAATCCATCCACCTGAAATACAAAGGATACAAATAAAATTTATTTTAAAGGTGTATACAACACCAACAATATGACCTTAATAATTTTACTGCTAAACCTAAAATTTTAACAATAATCTAGATCATCTTTTCGATACAGTTCAGGTACTATTCAACACATACCACAGTATGTATTTTCTACCATTTTGTTCTTAACATCATTTGCTTAAGAGGACCAGTTCTTTCAAAACAGACAGAAACTAAAAAAGAAACCTGATAGTTTTTTTTTTTTTTAATTTAAAGTGTTAGCAAAGTCTTTCAGATGTGAAAACATATTTTGATATCTTTCCTTCTATAGGCTACTTTCTTTATAACATTAGTCAAGAGCTTAGAATTAAATAAGTCTATTTCTGTTTTGACCTCTACAAGTCAAAATGCGTTTATGTGATGAAATCAATTTTTGACTGGTTTGTGTTTACACTTGTTTGTCATCAGCAGTGTGTTTTTTTAATTTACCACCTTAATATTTAATCTATAACCTCACAATCGTTCATTAGACTTCACAGCTATTGACATTATAAACTAGCCAAAGTGGTTTTATTTAAAAGGTATATAAATGTTCATTAGCGAAAAATTAAATTACAATGTCAGCAGTATTGTTCTATTTCTAAACTTGAGTGAATTTTCATTTTACATGCCGAAATTACTTAAATTTGCCTGAAGTTTTTTGTATTGTCATTTTATTATATTTTTGTACGAGTTAACTTTCCTTGTCAATCTTTAAATTAACACATAAAATGTATGTGAAACTTTGCTCATGTAAGAGAAAACTTAAAAAATTGTTTCTGAAAATGTGTTGCCCCAATTCATTTTTGCAGGAAAATCACTTTCCGATTGCCATATAAATTCTAAATGCAGAACTAAATATCTAAAATTTCTGGAAAAAAACAAATATTTTGTCTTTTATTTCATTCAAATTTGACAAAATATGTTTTTTGTAACTAATTCAATGGGTAATTCTGTGAATATTTTTAAAAAAATTTTAAATTAAAATTTTGCTATAAGATTAGGTTATAAAGACGTCATCATAAACCAAACCACTAAAAAAAATGCTAAGTTGAACGCTCTTTTTCAGGCTAATAATAATCTTCCCTGAAACTGTATCGCCTCCCCTTAGAAGATTGGTGTTATTTATGTACCTCTTTAAACATTACCACATTTCTTTTCAAAATTTTTGAGGTGGATAAAATGAGAATGGAAATGGGGAATGTGTCAAAGAGACAACAACCTGACCAAACAGCAGACAAAAGTTATGAATCTAGAGAAGTTCTCGCTCGGACACACACTCCATTATCTAGTATATTATAAGAGCAGAAACCTGAAGCACGGGGAGGCACTCTACTGTCTCCACACGGCACTAAAGACAAACTCTGTAAAATATAAAATTGAGAATGGAAATGGGGAATGTGTCAAAGAGACAACAACCCGACCAAACAGCAGACAAAAGTTATGAATCTAGAGAAGTTCCCGCTTGGACATACACTCCATTATCTAGTATATTATAAGAGCATAAACCTGTTTATATTTTTTTTAAATGAAGGGGTTCTTTGCAAGCAATATCTGGGTGCTTGACACAAATTGGTGTGCATAGCTATAACCCACTGTTGGAAACTTTTAACTTATAGTTTAATAAATGTTATTTAAGTACTGGTTTCATGGTTCTTTTACATTAATTAAATCAATATTTCTATTTTTTAATGATTATGAAATTCTTTGTGAAATAAGTTTTTGCAGTCCTATCTTGGTGCTCAGTAAATGTTTTGTGACTGAGCTCCGACTGTTATTCTATTAACCACGAGGAAAGTTACAGCTATTTGGTGTATAGTGTTACACCTTTTGAAGAATCTGCTCTTTTTCAGCGATATTTTTTTTTTTTTTAATTTTAGTCCTAAATATGGAGCCAAATCTATCAAGCAGTCACCTAGTGTCTCATATGAAAATAATCAAAACAAATGTTAAAAATTTGCCCCTGAAATATTAGCAACCATCAATTTAGTATAAAATAGCTTAGAACAATCAAAGTAGATAAATCAAATTTTTAAAAAATAAATTTAATCTCAGTTATCAGTTCATTTACAAATTTATTGCACAAAATAGGTATCGTATGTCTTCTTATATACTTAAACAAAAATCCATCCCAGAATTTTACCTCAAATGCTGCTCCTGCAACTGCTGCACCGATGGCTTCCTTTGAAGGTGGACAGTTTGATAAAGGCAAAAATCTATACTGTAAATAAAGAAAACTATTCAATATCATCATGATCATTTATCAAAAATCTCTTCCATAGTTTAAGTATATATCTAACATTTTAAAGAATCTATTCAGTGAAAAAATTGTAAAGGGTTCTGCTGAACCCTGTATATTGCCTGGGATTAACATCCATGTAAAAGTGTAATGTCGGTTGAAAAAACTTAAGTCAATTTATCAGTATAATATAGAAATGTTTTTTAAAATCTGAAAGTTTTTCTTCTGATGCTACTTCTTTATCTAGAAGCAGCTTATTTCCAAGTTTTAAAACATTCTTTAAAACATTCCATGAAGGTTTAACAAATTATTGATGTCTAAAATATCTCTTAATCATAAAATAGTGACTGCAAAAGTTTCATGAATTCTATGAAGGTTTGACAAAGTTATTGATGTATAATAAACTTAAACTGAAGACTGTATCTAAATGTTTACTGAAAAAAAAAATAAGTCTGATACTGTCTTTTGATCATAAAAAAGTTTCTGTCCAAGTTTCATAAAATTCCTTGAAGTTTTGAAAATTCATTGATGTCTTAAAAATCTGTAACTACAAACTTAATATATTTGTTGACGACGCAGATGAAGGAATGTAGGATCGCTATGTCTCACTTCCGCAACAAAATGTTACAGGCTTGACAAATTTTTCAATTTTTTAATACTTGCTTGTGTTAGAGAATATGATGTACAATGGGTTTTTTCCACAACTGATATATTTGACAAAAAATAAGTAAACCAAAATATCTTTATAAATTTTGTGCATCATAGCAGGAACACTCAAACAAAAACATCTGAAAGACTATAAAGGATGTATAAAATCATGAGGAGCATTAGGACCAAAAGGGGCCTTAAAAGTGTAGACACATGTACAAAATTACACACAGTATGAACCCAATTATGAGACAATTTCAAATTTAAATCTTGTCAGTAAACATTTTGGCACAAAAGATAGTTAAAACATGAGACTTTTTGGTATTTTGAGTAATTTGTTTATTTTGCATTGGTAAACCATTATCGAAGATTATAAACAGCTACCATTGGACCTAATGACAAACCTTGTCATAAGCTAGATAAGCATAGAATGTTAATCATGTTTATTCAAAAATACATCAAATACACGTGATACGAGTGTGTGGTAGTGAAATATCAACACTTAGGATGTGTTATCTTTAAGCATATCTTAAGTCCTTAAATTAACCTTTCTGTACTTACTGGATTACTCTCTGACTTTGTCATCACTTCTGATGTTTCTGACATTTTACTGTTCAACCAAAAAAATCTGAATTCAGTCTGTAAAATAAGAATCAATTAAATAAAATATCCTCACTGATGGATCTGAGAGGAGTTGGAGTCCATTGTGGTAGACATATTGGATATTAGGCGAGGACAGTTTTTTCTATAAAAAATTAGATGATTTGACAATTTTTAATTATCAATATAACACTTCAAAGATCCCTTTTTTATGCTGATGCGATACAACAACCTCTGGTGGCAGACTTACACCTGTGAGGCACCATAACAATAAACCAATATTCATTATTACCAAATGTTTTCAACTTAACCTTTATTCTTTTAGTCAGCACTTCAGTGTTGACATGAATCATCATTGATATGGTCATAATTATAAATTAACTGTTTACAAAACTTCGATTTTTTTTTGAAATACTAAAGATTTTCTACCCCAGTAATAGATTACCTTAGCTTTATTGGCAAAACCTTTCAAAATTTTGGGTCCTCAATGCTCTTCAACTTCGCACTTTATTTTGCCTTTTTAACTTTTTTGATTCGAGCGTCACTGACGAGTCTTTTGTAGACGAAAAATATGTGTTTTGTGTACAAAATTTAATCCTGGTATCTATGATAAGTTTATCTATATTAAATGCTAGGGTATTGAAATCAAAAATGTCAAAACTTATAACTATACAGACCTCACTGTCATAAATAGGATGGTTCTTCCAACACATAATATCTAGTATGTAGTATATACCCTCAGCTTCGTTGAATATACAGTCAAGAATAGCATTATCTGTAAAAATTTACATACAAGTATTAAAAATTATTGTGATTTTCCTTGTAATAAAAATTTTAAAAAATACAGGAAATATGCACTTTATTAAATCCTTATTCTTTATCCAAATCTTATTCCTTTAAGAATTCATCCAAAAAATATATAAAGCTCATATCAATATCTAACGTCTTCATTTTTGATTTTGATAAAATCTTACAATTTTTTTCATATAAACAACCTAGGATTTATTCAATTGTCTGTTATAGTAGACCTAATGCAAATGAAACAAAATTTGTTATATTGCCAAACAGGAAATGACAGATCAAATTTTTTGGAATGCTTTTGCAATAAAAGAATAAAGCATATCATACATTAGAGACATCTTCAACTATATTAAATTGTTGATATAAAGGAGAGTGTGGTGAGGGCTTTTTTGCATAACTGTTGACTTTACTTCAGATTTACAATAATGTCTACTTTTAGGTTTAGTTAATAAACACTTTAAAACAGGTAGTCTGAAGGTGTGAAGTCATGGAAAACCCTCTTACATGCATTCTTGTCAAAAATAATTTTGGTCAGTCTTCAAATAGTTTTTGGGCATGCAAATCATCAAGCAAATGCAAGTACCAACTAAATAATGAACCACCATGAGCTTTGTTTAAAAACAATACCTCTCAATTAAGTTATTTTCTGGTGCTTGCATGTGCTTAATATTTCCCATTCACAAATATGTGCCAAAATATGTATGTTTTCTCATTTTAGTAGAAACAAACATTTATGCCACCTTTTGACCATAAAACCTCTTGAATATTCATAACATTTGGAAGACCTTACATTTTAAAGCTTCAAAAAAGTTGTAAGTTATCATTACACCAATATCACCTTTAAAAGTGCTTTTGTTACCACCAGGAAATTGGGACCGAAACTGAGCTACCTGGTATCCACTTTTAGCATAAGCAGTTGTTTTCCCCTGCAATAATTAAATGAAATAATATGCACAACTACATATATTTAGATGATCAAATTTGTATTAAAAGTTTACAATGAAGTAAGAATTCCGTGTCTTTCATGCCATGTTAACCCTGATGAGAGCATGTGCAAAAATTAAAGGGTCAAAAGTATAAAAGTACATATATATTGCATAAAGCTTGATTAACTGTTTCAAAATATTGTTATTTTATAGTATGATTTCTGGCTCCAAACAAGGCTGCAGAAGCTGGAAATAATATTTCTAATTTGCCACTATAACACTGGAAAATGCAAAGAGATGCCTCCTTTAGCTTCAAAGATTAAATTCATTTGAAAAGTTATTTACAAAAATGTAGTATATCAGTATGTATTTATTGAAGCTATATAAACATTTACACAGTCAAATACAAAAAGAAGGAAGAAGCTAGTATGAAATGCATATCAGTGCACTGCATTGATTGATTAGTGTTTTCTTTATGCTGCATCACTGCATAAAATTATGAAAACATCTTCAATATTTTACTTCCTCTACATTTTTGTCTGACAGTTTATCTTACCCTTGAAGCTATAACCAAACATCTTTTACCAACAGGACACACAACTGTTAAATAATTCTCCACAAAATCATCTGGTACTTCTACTAACCATTCAGAATACATTAACTAAAATATAAACATCAGTGGTGAATGTGAAAAGATTCATACTAATCAAGGATTTTTTCTCATATAAGCCATTTATCAACAGATTAAAATTTAGCCAAGATATTTGCTTTATTCAGTCATTTCGTTCTTCACAGAAAAAAGAAAAATTGTGTTGTCCAACCTTATTTTTTGTTGAAGAAAAGCCCTGCATTGGTGGAGTAATCCCAGTAAGCCATGCTATTACAAAAAAGATTTTACATGCTATTGCAATAAAGCTGTTTCAATATTAAAGATGTGCTAGCATTGGGTTGCTGTCTCATTGACGTATATCCTTCATCATCCTTTTATTCATGTTCTATTTATAATACACATTTTTGTTTAGGGTAATTGGACATAGCTGAAAACTGACCATATCAAATGGAAATAAAATTGTCTATTACTTAATATATTCCATTCTCTGACTGTCTGTATCTGTATTGATTAATTTGACTTTAGTAATCAATTTCACTGTGAGTGATGTTGCTATCATAATACTGTGGATTCATCTATTTTCTTGATTAAGGAAAAATTGCAGGTATTTAATTTCATGGTTTTACAAGAACCTGCATACATGTACTTTGTTGAACATTTAAATTCATGGTAACCATGAAATCTTCTAATATTGGAATCCACCAAAGATAATAATAATGAATCCCCAGTAAACAAAATTTAACAAATGTACGTTGTAATTGGAGAACCCTTCGCATTCTCTTAAGTTTCCTTTTGCTCCACAATGACTTCACATGTTGTTAGAAGTATATAAACCCATACACTTCAACTATACTGTGGACTTTATAATTTTCATTGACCCAGCTATATACCTGATTTCTATAATATTTTCCAGGACGTCTAATATTGACATTTTCATCTGTCACTTGTATATCCATTGATTCCTGAGAGTCAACAGATTCTGCATCAGCATTATCCCATTGTCCCTCTGAAAGGTTCCGCACATGACTCAAATAATCAAATCTGTGCCTGAAAAATATTACATTATATTTATACAGTGTTACATCTTGGTAAGTCTGTAGTAATACCTATATTTTAAACATTATAGATCACTACATAACTCAAATTATACTTAATACATTGTAATATGTCAAATTTTGTTCTAAATAAATCAAATTTTGAAGGTCCTTTGCAATAAAAAGTTAACCAATTTTGTCAGTCACAAAATGTTTAAAGTTATTGCGTCATGTATTCTACAATTAATGTTATTTTCTGACAGTGCTACTTTTCATACTTTAGTAAGAAATGCAAAAACATCTAAAATGTTTACTTTCACAATTATTGACAATACTTGCAGTCACACGAATGAATAACTTACTTCTTTTGTTCTTCTAATATCCTATTTCGTCTGGTTTCCTGGTCAATACGATTTCTACTTTTGTACTGTGAAAACCTGGGATGAACAGCAGCTGTGCTATTTGGATCACTACTGACAGAAAAGTCACAGGCAAGTTTAGCTGTCAACTCGTCCATGCTGTCAAATTCTGTAAAAATATATATTTCAATTAACATTATAGAAATTAAAAGAGTTCTCAAAATTATGTTTTTCTTGTTTATCTGTGGAACCACTTGATTCCTTTTCATGCCTACAGAAGTATTTATTGTTTGTTTTCTCAATAGCTCAATTTTCAGCGCAATTAAATCAGATATTGCTGAAGTCCAAAATAACATTGTGTTGTTGAAGTTACATTTGTATGTAACTCTTCCAGATATTTACCCCCACATTTTAACATTTTAATCACATTTTACTATGATATCCTAAATTACAACCAAAGACTTCATTACTATCAATGCTGAACCACGAAACTAAAAAAAAAATTCTGTTAAAAACTGTTGAAAGCAAACAATATGGACCTATGAAGACTTACATTTGTATTATTGGACTATGGGACCAGGTGTTTGTAATCAAATAAATCAGTTATACAAGTGTGTAACGTCTACATCATTTTCAGATTATGTGTAACGTGAGATAACCCAAATTGCACCTATTTTGACAGACTTTTTACCTATGTTGATTTATGATAGACAAAAGTTTCCAGTCTGTGTTTATTTTGAAGATGTACAATGTATCATTATTTACAACATAGTTCCACCAATTCAATTTTGAATCCATATTGAATGATAGAAAAATGGGTTTGAACCAGCCTCCAAACAACCCATGATTCTGTAATGAGGAATACCCATATTGTAGTCCAAATAGTTATGACGTCTTGAAAGGCCATTACATTTTTTGCTTTGACGCCTTATAGCGAGTTCATAACGCCGAACTCATATTTTCAGTTGGACTTTGAGAGAGAATTTACTGCTTTATTAAAACTTTTAGCTGATTGCTCCTTAAGATGCTTTACTTTAGTATAAAATATATTTTTGCACCAAACTCCATGAACTCTGTAAAATTTGATGGACCTGCATTTCCGGATAATATAAAACAAACGTTCCGGAAATTCGGGTCTGTCAAATTTTACCAAGTTTGGTGTAAAAATTTATTTTATACTCTCCTAAAAAGATATGAGATAAACGTTTTAAAAAAAGCAGTAGATAATCATCCGCCTCGGATGGAATTGTAACTTATTTTATCATTACTTTAGGGAATTATTGGGAATATTTTGCACAAACAAACACATAAAAGGTAAGAATTTGTATATATGCAAAAATTTCTAGCCTTAAATGAAAATTTTATGACTAAATTGGGTCTCAAAGTTGACAGCAAAATTCCCTCTCAAAATCCAACAAAAAAAGATGGCTTCAGCGTTATGACGTTGCTGTAAGGCTTCAAAGCAAAACAATATAATAGCCTTTCAAGACGTCATTATTATTTGGACTACCTTGTAACCCATATTGCATCCATACAAATTGAATATCTAATGTTTTGTTTTATTTCTCCAAATATTTTGAACAATTTGACAATAGTCCATGGTAACTTTTGATTTTTTTAAGAAATGGATGCCTGCATGATGACATATTTTGATTGTTCATTTTTTAAATTTGACTTTTTCAAAGTTTTTGTTGTTTGTACATATGTTAGTGACACATCTTCATTTGTCCTAATAGGGAGTGTACAAAGATATCACTGTACCCCTTACAGCTATCAAGGGGAGTTCAGAATAACTGAGGTATCTACCAGTACATATAGTGACCATTTAGTGTATATTTAAATATATTTAGCTATGTTGTCGTTGAAAGATGTGCATAAAATTTTGTCAAATCATAATACAAATTGTTGCTATTTTTGCTAAATGGGTGCAATTCGGGTAATGTAACGTAACCTTCTTAAATTTTAAAGAATTATCAGTTACATCGTTATGTATTTGTCATACCATTCATGCACTGCTTGAATTGTATTCATGAAATTATTTTCATGCCAAGATGCCGGCTAGCAGCGTCATGATATACTAAATTGTAGTGTTGTCTTGTATAATACATAAAATTTAAGGTGTCTTAAAAGAAGTATATCAAGATATTTAAATCTAAAATGGCATACAAGTTCATAAATTCATGAATTTTTCAATGTACAGTCAAACAATTTATCGCCGGAAGCACGATGTGATCTGGATTCCGATCACAGTACCGGACGGATCGAAAATTCCGCGATCAATGTCGATTTTTGAAATTACTTTACTTCTTACTTACTATCCCTATTGGACTCATTGGCGATGGTTTGGTGCTATTCTAACAAGAAAAAGAACTAAAACCGTACAAAAAAAATCAGTAATATTTTGTGCTTCAAGGTCGCATCCGTCATCCCTTGACGCCCATTGACTCAAATAGTACTATTTAAATCATTAACCTAATGCTTTAATTTACTCTACTACTGTTATGATATCATAAGCACAGGTACTCGGTTATTCGGGATACAACTTTATCCATCGTCTATTTTTTTTTTTTTTTTTTTCACCTAACGCAAACACCAAGATTTATACGTTTATTAGCAATGTACAGTACAGCTGGTATACCAAGGAATTATATATCTAAACTTTATTATATACATTTCCTTGGATTTACCTGAGACTACCATACTGTGTTATAGTAGTCTCAGGGTATATACTCATAATTACATTGTAATATACAAGTGTACATGATTTGTATCACCGTAAACCCGGCATACATGTGTACAATCTTTCACACCTTCAACAAAAGTCAAGATTCTCATCATGTGGGTTTTAATTACATTAGCTCTACACAACTAAAAAGTTGTCCAACATGTGTAAAAAAACGACTAATATAACATAGGATTTTTTGTCAACGCATGGCTATACATTTTGTTACCTAAGGCTATTCTAACATCGGACTCGGACTTCTTTTAGACTGAGTTTTACTGTGCGTATTGATGTGTGTTTTTTTATTCTACATTGGCTATATATATATAGAGGTATAGGGGGAGGGTTGAGATCTCCCAAAACATGTTTAACCCCGCCGCATTTTTGCGCTTGTCCAAAGTCAGGAGCCTCTGGCTTTTGTTAGTCTTGTATGTTTTTTTTTATTTTAGTTCATTTATATGTTTCGGAGTTAAGTGTGACGTCCATTTTCACTGAACTAGTATACAGTTTTGTTTAGGGACCAGCTGAAGCCCGCCTCCGGGTGCGGGATTTTCTCGCTGTATTGAAGACCCATTGGTGGTCGAGTTGTTGTCTCTTTGGCACATTCCCCATTTCCACTCTTAATTTTATGCATTACCTTCCGTGCAAATAAACACATTGTCAAAATGTCACAATTGGAAAAAGTGACAAAATTGGTAAAATTATAGATTAGCCTGACGATCATTCTGGTATTTAAAGATCTAAAAAAATCGCTATAGTGAGTTGCACATAAAAATATTGTATCGGTCATCCAAAATCGTCACGGATGGTGACTGTTAAAGTTATATATTGTGTCGATTTCAATCGTTCTTCACCAACCAACACTGTAAAAATGGTTGATGTTTTAAACTGAAGATGAATTCTGAGCCTGGCAAAAAAAAACAACTTAAAAACAAGGGAAAGTCAAACAATATAGTCTGAAATTCAAGAAAAATGATGATTGAACGACACTCCGGCATTAACCGTTTGGTACAAAGAGCCAGGAAGTAGTCTCCTAAACTCCGGAGAGGTAGTTACTATTCTGCTCGTGGCATCATCGTATTGCTCAAGACAAGTCAAAATTCGATCATGAGTCGTATTGAGTAACGTGTCATGAAGGAACTGAGGACAAACTTGTGGCTTATGTAGTCTTTGAAGATTAAAAAAAACACACACAAAAACCCCGTTTAGAACCGGTGGATTATTAAGTCCCTTTAAAAAAAAAGATTCATCAGGAAAATTCCGATAGTAGCAAAGGGCCCGGTATATGGCATCTACTGGAGTGAAAAACATACACAGGTGCTTATGGAATGTTGCTACATAAAAATCTAAAGTTAACAATTGGATGAGCAGCCATAAAAACAATACGAGGGAGATATAACTTGCTTCAAATTGAATTGGATTGATGTGATCAACAAAGTCGCCAAACTTTGTATGACCTTGTGAAGAGACATCATCAATAGAAAGCGAAGTTGAATGATAGTGCTACACTTGAGAGTATTCCACATACGATGAAAGGAAAAAGCAGAGCACAATGGAGTCCTATACTGTTTTAGTGACTGACGTCTTTTGAAAAAAAATGTCTACCAAGCAAACCCAGTAAGGGTTCAGTATACACAAATATAGTTTATGATTTTAGTAGTGATTGGAGATCTTGGATGATTTACCAGCACAACATACTTGTATTGGTATTAGGACATGCAGGTATCTTGCATCATTCTGATGTATAAAAATAGATATTTCATAGACTTGTTTAGTTTTCTAATTATAATTTGTATCCGCGACTCGTAGCCTAAACAATTTGGACAAATATTTGTTATCCTTTTCATGTTTACCTTGTCTGGAACTCTATATAGTTTTTTTGTATAATAAATGACTGAGTCCGTATAAAGAGTTTAAGAATATGTTTCCAGTCATGAATTGATTGTTGGTGTTTAACTCCATTTTCAGCTGGAAAAAAGTCCACCTTATTCTTTTTTTATAATCATTTTTTAGAGATCGCAGTCGAACGCTCCTTGCCACGAGCGGAGTGTTGATAGTACAGGTTATTGATCACCACAAAACTACTTAGACAACTCTTTTATGGACTTGACAGAATACTTATACCATCAAATTTGTCTTGAAAACATATGGCGTTGCAGTTTCCATTTCTCTTATATTCAGGAATGGCTGCTGCTCTAGGTGTATATTTTTCCTATGTTTTATACGAAGAGGCTAACATTCATTCAATATCGGATGTTTATGCTGAAAGACGCTAATGTCTTACAACTGGACTTTACATATATATTTTGAAATATTTTATTTGTACAAAATAAAATAATATGTTAGATAATAATACAGTTAAACAATGTTAAAGTATACATAAATAAATAGATAATATAAGTATATATGAAATCAACGTATGGATTTTAAACAAAAAAACATGCGTATCCTCCTTTCCCCAAACAAAAGGTTCCTAATTTTCATTGAAATCAAAATAACTTTAACACTCAAAATTATATTTGCTTTAAAATTATAAATTTACATAAAGCAATTCTTTCCATATGAAGAAAGAGTTGTGGGATTGACATTAAAAGGTGGGTGCAGACAAATAGAAGGCTCAGAAATACGCATGCATTAATTTTGTCATATTTCAATCTGTTATATGCCTTAATATCTTTATGATGGTCAGACAGGATGACAGACAAGACAAAAAGCGGCATTACTACCATGTACAATACAAGAAAACCTAAATAATCAATATTTTTCTTGTTTTTCATCCCAAATGTTAAAGAATTTTAGAGTCGATTTACAGATTATTGAAAATCATGCAAAATAATGCGAAAATAAAGTCTGGAACCACTTCCTTTCCCAAAAGGTATTAACATACATATCCCTCCTTTCCTACAGGTTAGTGGTTTTGCGTATTCAATTAAAGAAAGTTTAATTTGAAATGAGATCGGAATTAAAATAAAATTCTTGACTAGCATCGACGAATCATATGACTATCTTGAGGCAGAACTAGTTTATGAATTTCACAAAACTCTTTCTTGTTATCTTCCAATATGACATACATCCATTTTGCAAATTCTGCTCTGTTTGTTGGATGCCTTGACAATGTAAGTCTTTTATTACAAGTATAGTTAGGTATACTGTGTCCAGAATTACTTGCTTGATGTTTCATTATACACAACAATGTCTTCGCCTTATCATCATCCCAGTTCACGTATAAATCATTGTGATCAGCATAATAGGTTGTTCCAAACTGTCGATAAAGAGCTATTTCTGTCAGTTTATTGTATGCTATAGTCCAATTTGATACCTGTAGAATACAAAGTGAATTATAATGGCGACTGTAGGTCTAAAATCTTTAAATCCTTTCAAGTAGCTAGTCTAAATTCTTTAAATTCTTTCAAGTTGTAAGTCTGAAATCTTGAAATCATTTCAAGTTAAAAGCCTAAAATCTTTAAATCCTTTCAAGTTGCAAGTGTAAAATCTTTAAAAATTTTCAATTATATATTTTCTCGGACATTGGTGTGGTATTTTTCTACTGTCTGTATCTTGTTTCTGTTGTGTTTACCTTTATACACTTCGTTTTTTTTAATCTATACTTTTTGCATCTGGTTCGCGTAAAAATATGGTTTATGACAAACAAGCAAACAAACGAATGTGTCACTGGCGTACAAATAAACTAATGTGTCACTGGCGTACAAATAAACGAATGTGTCACTGGCGTACAAATAAACGAATGTGTCACTGGCGTAAAAATAAACGAATGTGTCACTGGCGTACAAATAAACGAATGTGTCACTGGCGTACAAATAAACGAATGTGTCACTGGCATACAAATAAACGAATGTGTCACTGGCGTACAAATAAACTAATGTGTCACTGGCGTACAAATAAACTAATGTGAACAAACAAGATCATTTTATTGAGGTTCTTGCCATATGATGTATTTGAATATTTAGAGCAAAATTGTCTGGAACGAAAGCATAAATTAACTACAAGGTCTGTTTAGTCTACTTACTAATGATCGCTGAGTCTGATTTCTTGGAACAGTTGGAATGTCCTCTTTTTCAAAATTGGAAACTGGCGACAAATCTCCATCAAAAACCTGCGAAACATTTTTTTAGATTGCTTTAAAATTTTTGTCTCCCGACATATGAAATATGTTTTAATTAAACTTATTACATTCGTATTTTCCTGAGGTGCCTTCTGCAGGTAATGATGCGAAATACGATTTTACTCACTATTTATTTTATTATGTTATGAATCACAATTTTGTATTAAAATGGAAGAATTCGGAAACAGGAAGCTTCTCTGCATGCTTTTTTTTAAAAAGAATGATTGAACTTTTAAATTTCGGACTGAGAATGGGCAAATCCGAATGGTATGTTGATGGCGCAAAATCCGTTTTCATGTTATGCCTCTTATTTAAATGATAGTTTCAAATCAGTTATTCATTAAGTTTTTAATTCTGTGATAATGAATGAATCGGGGTTTCCCAATTTTTTTTACCTAAAAAAAGTTTATTTTATATATCAAGTTGACCCCTGAATTTTTATATATTTACACATGTTACTACATTATTATGAATTATTTTTTGTTAACTACCAAGGAACCACAAGGAAAATTGTTAAATTTTTTGGTTCGAAAATGACAAATAATGAATTCGAACTGTTAGTTCTTTGCTTAAACATTATGTTATATTTTTTCAAATTTAAATGTCTTGAGGGTGGCTTTTGTAATCTGCCAGCAGTATAAATCTAAAATGGCAGAAGTCTCAAAATAATCGATATCCCTGCACCCATAGGAGTCTTATTCTAGGGGATCGATGCTATAGGAGTATTCCTTTTCGTTTACGGTTGGAATTTTTGGTTGATCATATGGCTAAAGATGTGCCGTTTAATTGTCAATTTCCCATACATCTATACATCGAGATGAAAGAGTGAGAGCTCAAAATACTAGTTTTTCCCTCTACATATTCAAGTCAGGAACCGCTTCAGTTGTCTCCTATCTTATCTTAATGTGTTTTATTTAATAAATTGGGGTTTGATGGCAGATATTTTATAGTTTCTAATTAAACTATTCCACGTGAATTATTCACTACTTTTTTTTTAATTTTCGACGATTTATAGTTTGACATAATGTATCGACACTTGTCGACTGTTGAAGACTGTATGATAACCTCTAGATGGCTTTTGGTGTTTCTCGTTGGGTTGCTGTCTCATTAACATATTTCACACATCTGCTTTTATTAATACAATATACACATATACATACGTGTATGTCTATCACATATACTTGTTACACTCAGTTTGTTATGTGGCGTGTTTAGGGCATATCTTATTCGGAAAGGGGGGTGGGACTTCAATCTTTTTTTTTTGGTAGGGGTGAGCAGTTGATACATCAAGTATTCCACCCTTTTCATATATTTTGTTTATCAAAAATATATACCCGGTCATATATATATATCAATTAACAAAAAACAGACCTATAGATATAGCTAAAGAGTTTGTTGTGATACCTAGTGAACAAGCGATTAATTATTTGTTACTATAACTGAGTAAATTTAACAGTACTTACCGACGAAATTTTTCTGCTTCCATTAAATGTTTCTAATATCAAATGTTGTAAATTATGTTTCAAACTATTTTCGATATAATGATTCCTTTCGATTTGGCAAGTCCATTTACAAAAATTTGTTCCCAGCCTAATATGTTGTCTAGATTGATGGCAGAAGTTTTCATAAGAAAACGAAACACAGTAAATCATAAACACTACAACAACTACAATAAAATAAGTAAAAGACAAATACATAAATAATTATATACATAATATGATATACATGTAAATATACAATTAATAAATGATTTTGGGAAAAAAGACCATGCGCAATTCCATAGAAAATTGGTTTAGAATAACGATGAAGACAAGAGAGAGAGAGAGAAATTCCTCGTACCCATCTATTTTGAACCAGTTTTTTTTCTGTTTTAAATTTGTTACCATTTTCCCTTTCATTTTACTTAATTTTAACACAGGGATGTCGCCATGCCTTGATTTCCCCGTAGACTATTTTTGTTATTCTCAGGTAACCGTGCTCCCTTTAATAGCAAATGCAAATTTTTAACCTGAAATTTAAAATCTTTCAAAATAAAGAGCAACAGGAAACACTGCTTTGATATTGATAAAACTTCTGATGGAATGAGGATAAAAATCTTTCAAAAAGATTGAACAATTTGTTATTAACTTTGAAAAAATACTAACGTCGGAAAGTTGGAGATTCACTCAATGGATAGTAACTACTGTAGACCCTGTGTAACATAAAACATTACTCGGTACTTGGAGTACAAAATTTGTGCTCGAAACACCAAATACAGTATTTAGATTGTTTAGTTTTGTAGTCTTTGTACAATACTCGTGCACGAAATTTTTATGACCGCAATGCCTTGGGTAGTAAACGGATTGGTTATGAAACAGTAATTTTATGTATTTTTTTACATTTTGCTTAATTTGGCTCGAATTTCTATGGTAAAGCCAATGGAAAAAAGTACTGCATCAAAATAATCCTATCGGGCAGTAAAATATATTTTGAACAAATATAATTAATTTTAGGCACAGTATTACACAAACCTCTATAAATCATGATTAAATTTCTTTGAAGCAAATAATCTTATTATTGCATACCTTAATAAAGCAATCTCCTTTTAAACAAATACAGCTTAAATTTTCCATAAATATGACAAATCTGGCAATTTCCATTATTCATTGAAAAAAAGCTTTGGTCATTACTAGCTTTGTGGTGTTACTTTCAATCTGCTGAAAATATCCATTGTCCGAATTCGAATGCAAATAGAAATCTGTGAATTCCTTCAAAAGCGGATATTCCAGACGGTCAGGATTGCAACACCTGAAATTAAAGAACGGGACATCCGTACGAATGTTTTAACGACGATACCGTTTTTCATCAAAGCATGATCGTTTGAAAGCTGTTATATGCTCCATTGTTTGCTTAGATGTTTTTTTTTAAACCACAGCAAATATAGATTTAACTTTCATGAAATAGAAATGGAAAAGAGTGTACAATAATTACAAAAAAATGTTTAATATTTTCGAAAATTAGCTTGTTAAATGACTCAATAGATGGTCAATTAGATAAAACAAAGAATTTGACCTCTTTCACACCGAAAATATGTATACATCCAATGACAGTTCAGTATGTTGTAATATATACTTGTTTTTTGTACCATGGTTAATGATTATCTTTAAAAGAAAATTTAAAAAACAAAAAATCTTGAATCATTTCAATCCCTTTTAATTGTGTTGATGACAACATGAAACAATACAACGGAATATGAAAAGGTATGAGGCGATATTCCTTTACTAATCCAATAAAAACAGTTTTCACACTAGAATATGATTTTAGTGAAACTCAATTCATGACAGTATACATGGACTTTATTTTCGAAAGAAAACGGAAAGTAGTTTGAAAGAGAAACTAACTTTCATACGAATTTTCAAACGTTTTGAAATATGGATTTTAAAGACAGTGAGTGGGATAGATTTGAACAGAGATATCAGATAGCCAGGTCAAAGCATATAAAAGATTTGTCATTCTGAAAATGCTGTTCATAAGAATAACGAGATGTTCTTGTTAGACAGGGTCACATCAGCTGAAAATGTATATACATTTAATTATTTAACAATATATACAATACGAAACAAGCATGTAATAAGTAACACAAACACACAATACAGCGCTATAATTTACCATGGTAATTGTAAGCCAATGCATTTATTAACAAGATTATATAGGTACTAAAGCAACAAGCAAATAAAAGATGTAAACTAAGGATAATAAGAAAGGCGGTAAAATGTATAGTATATAGATTATAGATAGGATGCCATCTACAATAGGTAAAAGTCAGCACACAGATGATCCAGCTCAATAACCTTCTTCAGTCCCCTGGTCATTTGAGTGAATTCTAAGCCCAGATAATCATGGTGGCTGTTGATGGTATTCTTCGGTTATGCTTCTACATGCATAGACTTTTTAATGATATACACAGAAACGCAAAATTGAAACACTAACCTGTATAGAACCAAAATACTATGACAGACAAGATGTGATTTAACGTGTTGGCCATAATGCATATAATACCATCTTATATTAGTATCGTTGTGCAAATCTCTAGACTTATATAATTTTGTCCTTATCTGCACAGTATCGTCTATTCTAGACGATTCGGTACATAGTAAATTTGATAGTTGGTCCTTTTTATAGACCTCTCTCTCTCTCTCTCTCTCTCTCTATATATATATATATAGACGTTGTTTTCAATTTAGACTTGTTTATATTTGCCTTCGGGTTTATATGATCCGTTCATCCTATTTTGACTCCTCAAAATTCAAGAATCTATCCTAAATTGACTGAGGTAAATTGTATGGCTTTCCAAATACCGTTTCGATTCCTAACATCACTGAAGAGACATTAATTGTCGAAATTCGGATATGGTGTACAAAAACCTTTGCACCTTTTGTTTGCGGTATATCATCTTTTCCACAAGTTTATTGTTTTCTGTTTAGTATTAAATTTATAATTAAGATCCATTTATTACATCGGTGATCCGTTTATTTGGCAATCGCCAATGGCAGTCAGCAGGGTTTAAGAACATTTGTTGTTCGACCTGTTAGTCAAATGCGTTTTGTTAAAATATACTTTTTCACTTTTTTGGTCTTTTGGAAAATGTTGTTTGTGCTGAATTTAGACCCCTCTAACAAGAAATTTGTTTTGCATGCACACGTATAAAAATTGCGGTTTTTATCCAAAGCAATCATAGGTTTGAACGTTGTTTTCAATTTATGTTGGAACAAAAAATTTGCTTCCGCAAATTTACAGATCTAACATTGTTGGAACAAAAAATTTGCTTCCGCAAATTTACAGATTTAACATTGTTGGAACAAAAACTTTGCTTCCGCAAATTTACAGATCTAACATTGTTGGGCTGTGTTGTTAAGACGAATTATATATATATATATATATATATATATACAAGTCTAAATATATATATATATCCGCAAGTCTATCCGTTTGATCAAGCCAGTGTATTAGACAAGACCGAGGTTATAGTGGCGGCCACATAAGAACTGTTTTTGTATCAGTCTGTGTATCTGTAGTATAATTCCTATTTAATAGTAAAGGGATAAGGTCAACTTCTCTTGCTTTTTTTTATTCCCATGATAAAAATCCGAAGACAAAAACCAAGTGCAATTTGAATATTAAAGAATCTTAATATTTACACAAATATCCTTAAAGTTAAAATATTATTCCGCGCAGCTGTACACATGCATATTGCTGTTGAAAACATTTTTTTTTTACAATATTGCAAATTGTGCATGTATTTTTTTTCTTCAAAGTTCTGCATCGATTGTACTGATTGATACTTTAGTCTGGGAGAACATGATTTATTTATAAGTTGTGATTGACTTTGAACTAGCTTTCAGTGACTGCGAGTAATCTTATTTCGGTTCTTTGTGTATATTGTTTTTATGTTAGTAGTTTTTATGCCTCGTACCGATCTTTTGAGTTAAGCCAATTGCTACTGATTTGTACAGTTTGTTCTTATGTTGTGCTGTTGTATCATGCAATCAGCCAACTATTGTACAAATAACAGGTACACGAATAAAACTTTGCTTTATTTGTACTTGTACAAATAAAGTCTCCTGTTACTCCGCTCAGTCCAAATTGAGAAAACGGTAATGTACTTCGGAATATTTCTATTTGTGTGACAGTCCTTTATAAAGTCAGCGTTTAAACTATGCCGATTTCTTTGAAAAATAAGATACAACATTTTGGATTTAAACAACTAAACCTTCAAGTGCCGGGTCTAAATTGCAGGATAAAAAACAATATATGTACATTGTCGGAAATATAAAATTATTTATTCTTACTACGATACATGTCCTGTTTCTAAAGCTCGTTCAAATGAATTTTATATTTTCCGATAATGTACATATATTGTATATATACCACTATTCCAGGTTAAAAGGAGGGCTGAGCACTCTCTCACAGACATGTTATACCACGCCACATTCTTTATATGCTAGTCCCAAGACAGGAGCCTGTAGTTCAGTAGTTGTCATTGGTTCATGTATGTCATATTAGTTTTTCATAAATTGTTTTATTATAAATTAGGCCGTTAGTTTTCTAGTTTGAATTGTTTCATATTTTCATGTCGGGGACTTTCATAGCCGACTATACGGTATGGTTTTTTTTTTCATTTTTGATGTCACAAAAAGTGATTATCGAATTGTAAAAAGTGAATATCGAGTAACTCAAGTAAACATGTGTTTGTAACTATAATTGTTTTAACAAACCGTACGATTATCCAATTGATTTAAATATTGAATAACAATGAAAGGAAGTTTTTTTTAATGTTTAAGTCTGTACAATTTACATCCTAGGCATGCAGGGTTTTATAGCATAGGGTTACACTGAAATGAAACTCATATACACGTTGAAGCTCAGAAGATGCCTTTCCTTTTTGGTGTCGTTTGGGTTGCTGTCGCAATGAATTCCTACCCTACAGTTACATTTATTCATAAAAGATCATTCATGCACCGCGCTGAAGTACGTCCACTATTCATTTTTCAAAATTCAAAATTTAATAATGAATAATGAAATAGTTCATTATTCATTATTCAACGTTTAGTAATGAATAATAAACTACATGTATTTCATTATTCATTATTGAATTTTGAAAAAAAAATGAATGATGGACGTACTTCAGCTCGGTTATTCGTGCGTATGTTATTTTAAGGATAAAAAGACAATTATAACATGGTAGTAGTAGATAATCCTTTCATCCTTTAGATAGTTAAGTAGATTGCATTTATATATTATGATCTAAACAATTCCAGTTCTCGTCATCCTACTCAGAGTTGTGACACAATTTTATTTTCCTTACCTCTTTCTAGTGTAGATAGATATAGACCACATCTGCAGTATATACAATACAATACAAAACAATACAATATTTTTTATTTTCCAAATTAAAGGGCCCATTAAGAGCATAACATTAATAACAACATGACATAAACATTACAGAGTGATTAAAGAAACATAAAATAATAGTTCAAATGCATGAGGAAAGAGTCAGTGGTCAAGGGGAGATAATTTTGCTATCTATTAGAGTATTTAACTAATTTTCTGATTTTCTAAGTTGCAGGCCTTTATCAAGGTATGCACATAAAATAGATAAAAAAACTGCTATCTTCATTACTCATGATTCATGTAAAAAGATCATTTCTGTTTAAATTAACTAAACTGGTGTATTTTTTTATATAATCAGTCATATCTCTTCTGAGGTTATTGTAAAGAGGGCAATCCAGAAGGAAGTGCATTTCATTTTCAATAGAATTTGAATTACAATATAAACATATCCTCTCCTGTCGAGGTAATATTTCCTATTTACCACATACATTGATAAAACGTTCATGTCTGCCAGTTTCTGTTCTTAAACAGTGATTGCTGAGTCTGTATTATGTTAACAAATGTTTTTGGGGGTGCTTAAAATCTAAATAATTTTCATAGTCAAATGACCTCTTGAATGAAAAATAAGTGTCCAATTTGCCTTGATTCTGTAAATAAAAATCTCGCATTTTCTCCAAATCATTTTGAAAATTTAATTTGAGCTGTTTTTTCAGTATATATACACTGTTGACACAATTGATCTTGCAATTATATGAAGTATGTAAGGTGTCAGACCACAAATTCAAAATCCCTATCTATTCAAACAAATTTTGCAATTTTTCACAGCTTTCTTAATATTCTACCTTAAGTTTTAACTTAATAGAAACCAGGTATATCCTGGATTGTACATGTATCACCTTTCTACATGCCAATTTTCAACCAATGTTTAAAGTCTTCTAAGAAA